TTTGTAGTTCCGTACAATCGGGTATTGTTGAGTAAATACAGAGCTCACGTTAATATAGAGCTATGCAACCAAAAAAAAAGTCAAACAAATACCTGTTCAAATACATCAACAAGAGCCATGATCGAGTTATGGCGGCATTTTATGAAACACGCAATACTGATTGCGGTGCTGAGATTCGTGGCGAGATAAAGATGTACTACGACTGCAGATATCTGCCGGCATGTGAGGCAATGTGGAGGCTGTTTAATTTTGATATTCATTACAGAGACCCATATGTAATTAGGCTAAGCTTTCATCTCCCCGATCATCAGCCGCTTGTCTTCAATAAAAATCAGTCATTACAAAGTGTTCTGGACAGGCCATCTTCCAAGCAAACGATGCTCTTAGCGTGGTTTGAGGCGAACAAGAATTATCCACATGCTAGGGACTTGAGAATTACGGAGATTTTCCACAGCAGTTTGTGTATAAAGAGGATTCTCGCACTTGGGCGCCAAGAAAAAAAAGATTTTCTATTGGTAGGATTGTGAATGTTCCCCCTAGAAAGGGGGAAGACTATTACCTTAGGTTGCTACTTAAGATTCAAAGTAGTTGCACGTGTTACGAGGACATCAGAAAAGTTGCTGGCTACGTCTACCCTACGTTCCAGGATGCATGTTATGTGTTGGGTTTGTTAGACGACAAAGAATACATAGATGCGATAAGAGAAGTGAATGCTTGGGCATCTAGGGATTATATAAGGAGGTTATTTGCGGTTATGCTGCTTTCCAATAGCTTAAGCCAACCCGAACATGTTTGGCGAAGTTGTTGGTCAGATTTGGCGGAGGGTATTGCTTACAAACAACAACGGCTTCATAATAATCCACGTATGACAATTTGTATAGAACATTATTCAATTAGATTTTAAATATTACTCATTTTTTTAATATTCTCTCTTTAATTTTTGAACTAAATGCACAAAATGTATCAAATTTTTGTGCAGATTTATCTATATCGGATGAAAGCTTGATGAACTGTACTCTCACTGATATAGAGAAAATATTGCAAAGTAATGGCAACAGTCTACGTAATTACGCGCCCATGCCATTTCCAACCGAATTCGCGATGGAAGACACAGTAAACATATTGGTCTTAGATTAACTGGATTACGACCGGTTTGAAATGGGTAGAGAACTTCAACGGTGTCTTGCCTCAATTACAGACGAGCAACGAAAGGTTTATAATGTTGTCATGGATACTGTATCCAATGACCGTGGTGGAATGTTCTTTCTATATGATCATGGTGGAACGGGGAAGACGTTTCCCTGGAAAATTCTTTCGGCTGTAGTCCATTCCAAGGGAGAGATTGTAATTAATGTTGCATTGAGTGGTATAGCCTCGCTATTGCTCCCCGGCGGAAGAAAAACTCATTCTCGATATGGACTACCCATAAATGTACACGGGACTTCCACCTCCGGCATAACGCAACAAAGTCCACATGCGGAGTTTTTTATTAGGGCTAATCTTATTATATGAGACGAGGCTCCTATGATGCATAAGTACTGTTTTGAAGCGCTTGACAAGACAATGAAGTCAATATTACAGGTAGACAAATCGTCTGGAGGTAAGGTTGTTGTTCTTGGAGGAGATTTTAGCCAGATTTTACCTGCTGTACTCAAAGCATCAAGGCATGACATAGTACATGCTATGGTAAACTCCTCTCTGTTGTGGAATTTCTGTCTTGTCCTGAAGTTGAGTAAGAACATGAGATTGCAGTCATGTTATTCTCCACCTAACGTGGACGAGGTAAGAGAATTTGGAGACTGGATACTGAAGGTTGGTAATGGGGATGTTGGGGAACAAAATGTTGGTGCAACTTCGCTATAGATTCCCGATGACATGCTGATTGGTGCTTCAGAAGATCCATTCAGAGACCTACTGAGTTTCGTATATCCCGATTTGTTGAGTAACATATATGATCCAAATTATTTTCAAGGGAAGGAAATTCTTGCACCAACTAATGAATGCGTCGAGTCTGTGAACGATCACTTATGTCTCTCCTTCCAGGTGAGGAGAAGTTGTACATGAGCTCAGATAGTATGTATAGGGACGAGCAAACAACGGAAGATAATGAAGAAATCTATTCGACTGAATTCCTGAACACAATAAGATGCTCGGGAGTTTCTTCTCATGTCTTGAAGTTCAAGGTCGGTGCACCAATTATGCTAATAAGAAACATCGATCAAGCTAGAGAATTGTACAACGGGACCAGACTTCAAATTATTAGAACCGACATTCACGTTCTGAATTGCAAAATTCTATCCGATAAAAATATCGGTCACATGGTGTTCATTCCTTGGATGACTTTAATACCATCTAACTCCAGACTGCCAATTAAATTTCAGAGAATTTCTGTTGATTGTTTCTTTTGCAATGACGATCAATAAAAGCCAAGGCCAAACTCTTTCGCATGTTGATTTGTATCTTCCTAGGCCTGTGTTCAGCCATGGTCGACTATATGTTGCACTTTCCAGAGTTAAGAGCACAGGTGGCATTAAGATATTCATCAAGTGGAATTCGGGTGAACTCACCAATGTGACTAGAAATGTCGTATACAAGGAAGTAGTCATTGAATTTGAAGGTAGAAAATATTTTCATATCTATCACTTTTTCGTGTAACATGCCCTGATTTTTATTTTTTTAACACCTTATCTTTAGCAGGTCTATCTTCCTTATATTTTCCCCCGTGCGATGTTGTTTTCAGTTATGTCCCTAGGATACTCAATTCAAATCTTATTATCTTTAAGATTTATGTTTGTCGATATACTAATATTTAATATTATTCTTATATTGTAACTATGAACAACATGATACTCATAACATATTTTTAATATTGTTGGTCGATGAAGTTTTGTACTTAAATTCAATGAGCGTAATAATTGATATATGCATAAATTTGTTTTACAGACATGAATTTTCAGTTGAAAATATGCCGCCCCGTGCATCGCACGGGTGAATACTAGTATATATATATATATATATATATATATATATATGATCTAATTAATAGGACCCAACGAAAGTTAATCAAGAAAATATAAATTGAATTTTAATAATAATCATAGGATCCTAAAATAAATAAATAAAAAGAAGAGGTTCATCATGGTTGTAATAATTATTGCCATCATATCTTAACTTTTTGTCAACAATTCATTCAAACCCAACTTTCAGCAACAACTACCTTTGCGATTATTATCTACTTCTTTGTCTTGACCTATGTAATTCATCTAGTTTGTGCGACTAAGGGGTGTGTCTTTTAACTTGAAAAAGACACAAATAACCTTGCATCAGAAATATTTATTAAATACAATACATAAACATTATAAGATTGAATATTACCCCCAATAAAAAACTTATGCAACACATAATAAAATCGTAAATAAATTTATTAATTATTCCCTAAAATAATTTCCACAATATATTGTTTAGTGTGGGGATGCCTGGTTGGCAGGTGGTCACATGGGACATACCATGTGTTGTCAAGTATCATATCACAATCCTCACTTCCCCATCATTTTTTTTTTCTTTTTCTTTTTTCTTTTTTTTTTTAGAACCATAGTACTATGATAATTTCACTCAATAATCAAATATTTTTAATACTTCTGTTAACCCAAATGAAAGCCTAATAATTAGCAAGTTTCACTACATTATTATTCGGTCAACCTATGTAATCCTTAAAATCCTAGGTTATCACATATCAAAAAAAAAAAAGTCCTAGGTTATCTAGTATTTGGTGTCATATTTTAAATATTACTTACATAGTATTAAGAAAAATTATACAATTTCAACTTATGTAACATACTACTTTTTAATTAAATCCTCTACTCCATATAAGAACATGCAAAAAAAAAAAGGTTAATGTCAGGTTTAGTTGGGAAAATTAGTCATAACTAACTAAATAGTTACGCTGTGTTTGTGATTTTTTAACATCCCTAACAACTCCCCGAGTCGACCCACAAATATTATATTATGTTAGCAATCAAACGGAGGCCTAAATGAACTGACTAACACATACAATATTAAAAAAAAAAAAAAAAAAAAAAAAAAAAAACCTGGAATTATTACTTTCTAGAGGGAAAACAAACAAGACCACAAAATTATTGTCACTAATGATAAATTAATAATTGAAGAAAAAACAATGTGGGGATTTTATTGAAGACATGATCCAAACGTAGCCACATGATGTGGATTCCCAATGTTCCCTCGCGGTGTTTCTATGCTACTACAACAAGCATGACATTTGCTGAACCAAACCTTTGGCATCAAGCTACCCTATTTTTGGCAGAATTTATGGACACTTTTATTTATTTATTTATTATTAAAAATTATAGCTGAATGAATCTACTCCCACTGAGATTTGGAACCATAATTTTATTTTATTTTTCACCCTGTATGTATGTATGTATGTGTGCAGCTAATAGGTAGCTACCAAAAGGTGTGACATGAGCAACATTAATTTGGACTACAGGTTTCTTGATTTTGGCAAGATTTTTATTTACTTTTTCAGACTAGCCTGAATTCCCCTACTTTACTCTAACCTATTTGCAATTTACAACTACTAGTAATTGGTGAATTCATGATATAAAGGAAATTTACCTTATTCCAAAAATGAGTGTTTCATAATTGCACTTATATTGATTATTATTATTATTTTTTTATATATTATATATTTGAAAAATAACATATGGGTTGTGTCGAACGCAAAATCGCACATTGAAATCGTGCAATATTCATCATCTAAGTCACTCTAAATGCATACTTATAAAGTGGAAGCTAAGGAAGATTGAGAAATCGAGGTAGTTTTCCCGTGTTCGGAAATTACTCCCTCCAAAACTCAAATTCAGATCTTTATGTGGGTCGATCCATAGAGAGCAACCCGACGACGAGATTGAAGCAACGACGAAACAGTTGAGCGATAATATGGTTGTTTAAATACCTTATGAAAACGTTAAAATGGAAAGTAGTAAAGTGGTGTTTGTAAACGTTTTTTCCAAAGTGATTATGAGTATTTAATGTTTAAAAAAATCTAATTTTGAAACAAAAAAAGCTCATAATCAAAGCGTTTGCAAACACCACTTAAAAGTGGGGTGAAACAGAGCATTTCCCTCTAACCATAATCTAAAAACACACATTTTCTACCTAATCCAAATGTTTTTTGTCTCGACTCGATCGTCGTCATTCCTAGTAAAACCAAACTATTACGAGACAATAATTACGTGAAAACCGTTTTATATCGCCGCAACCTATCTATACATAGTACAAAACAGTCATATATATATTATGTTAATTAAATTCATTTATATTTATCTTAAAATTAAATCAGAAGACACCAAACGACGCAGCCACCTTCTGCGTCCGAACAACCGGAAGAATCGGAGGCGTAACGGATCGGATCAGCGCAAAATTCAACCCTTTGAAAAACGGGTGGGTCTTCACCTCCGCCGACCCGCGCTTCGACCCGAGCCTCCTATTCGGGTCCTTATTCAGCAAACGGGTGATCAAATCCCGCGCGTGCATTTCCGACGCACCGCCACACGGCGGCACGTCACTGGGGAATGTGAGCGGCCGCTTCGCGATGCCACGTAGTGTGGCCTCGTTAGTAGGTCCGGCGAATGGGGTCCGCCCATAGACCATCTCGTAGATAAAGATGCCGAAGGCCCACCAGTCGACGGCGTTGCCGTGGGACCCACCCGACGCCACCTCGGGCGCCACATACTCGTGCGTCCCAACAAAGGAGCACGACCTGGCGGAGACTGGCTCCGCCACGAAGAGGCGGTTAGTGGCCAGAGACTGGATTTTCTTCGACCGAAAAAGACACGAGAATGGGGTGAGTGAGGAGGAGTTGGGTGATTTCGGGGAGGAAAGTGGGTCCGGCGAGAAGTTGGGGTATTCGACGGCTGGGATTGCGTCAGAGCAAAGGGAGAGATCGAAGTCGGTGAGCATAATGTGACCATCGGATCGGACTAGCACGTTTTCGGGCTTTAAATCTCTGTAGATTATTCCTAACATGTGGAGATATTCCAGAGCAACCAAAACCTCTGCTGCGTAAAACCTGGAATTAACAAATAATTCCCATCACTGATTAGAAAATTATTTAGACAAAGCAAAAGCAACTAAATCAAGATATATCCATAAAATGTCCAGTTTTTCATTAATGGAAAATTGCGGCTAAAATTGATTCAAATTTCTGATAAGACAAGACTACGTGTGTTTTAATTTCTAGAATGTAATTTTTTTTTTCTTTTTTTTTTCAAAAAGCTGCAATTTTTATTTTTTATTTTTTTGTTTTTGCAGAGATGAGACATTTTCAAGAAAGAACTAGTATGAAAGGTCCCTTTTAGGCTTTTAGCAAAAAATACGAAGAATCACATCAAGCCTCAGTTTATTTATCACTTCAAGAAAAATCCCAGCTTTTCTATTTTCCTAATAAAAATTTAATTCAAAATAAAAAAAAACAAAAAGAAAAATGCAGGGAAAGTTACCTAGCGGAGCTGAGAGAGAACCGTTTCTGCGGCTGCTTATGCCGGAGAGAATGCAAATCGCCGCCGGAGCAGTACTCCATCACCACACAAGAGAAATTCGACGCCTCGAACTCTGCGTAAAGAGTGGGCAAAAACGGGTGGTCCAGAAGCCTCATGATTTTCCTCTCCGTCTCCGCCCGCCGTGTCTTCTTCTTGAAAGCCAACACCTCATTGTCCACCACTTTCATGGCGTACAGCCGCCCCTCCTCCGCCGAGGCGCGGAGGCGGCATAAGTAGACCCGGCCAATGTCACCGCTGCCGATCTGCCGCACCAGGCTGAAGTCGCGGAACGTCAAGTTCGCCTTGGACCGAATGGCCTGGAACGAGGAATCCGACGAGCGGTGCGGCCTCAGCGCCGCCTGCTGCTCCGGCGAACTCGTCGGAAGATCGAACGACAAGCGGCTGAAGCTGGTGCAATGGCTCACAGTAGTCGTGTCACTGCTCATCGAACTAATTTTGCTGGAGTAGAACAATCCGTCGGAAATCAACTCCTCGGAATTCCGGCGGGATTCTTCTAACATTTTTTTTTATGGACGAAGATTGTATTTCATGTAAAATCGATTTTTTTGACTTTTCTTGTTTCTCTGGAAGAATCAGATTCGAAGAATGGAAAATGGGAATGTTTGAACAGTGACAAAAGGATAGAAACAAAGTCAAATATTCACACTAAGTAAACAGTGAGACAAATTCTCAAAAGCCCACGAATTTTCAGGAATGTATATATATTGTGTGTGGGAGTATATATATATTAACAGCTGATTAGGGTTTCCGTACGATCGGAGAGAATGGAGACGATAGTAGTAGGAAGTAGGAACAGTATGGCTTACAGAGCTACAGCTCTGTGTGTGTGTTTAGGAGAGAGAAAGAGTAGAGAGAGAGAGAGAGATGGTTGGAAAAAATGGTCGCTGGGGGATATTTAAACAAACATTGTACGGAGGGAAGTGATTAAAATATAAACAATGAATTAGTAATAAAAAAATAAAAAGAATTATTTTTACTTGGGGTACAGGATAATTTATTCACTGACCGGAAAAATTCAACTCTGCTCGGCACGTGAGAGCACTGTAGTTCACGTGCGGTGGCTTTCTTGGTTTCGCGAAGTGCTGACGTCAGTGGCTGGTACGTGCGGGCTGTGGTGGTATTGGGGAGTGGCACGTGGGGAACGGGAAGGGTGTTGCTTGTTTATGCTAATTTGCCTTTGCCTATAGATAGAAGAAGGTGCCAGTAGTCCAGTACGCGTGGTCTGGACCTTTTGCTCTTTACAAAGTAAATCCTCCATTTGGAAATGTCTAGAATGCCCTTGCTGGTTTTACTTGAGTGAGTCATATTAGTAGTACTGTTTTGTAATTTTGAAAGAGTCCAAAAAACCTCAAAGTAAGGGCCCATTATCCGTAGAGCAAAAGCTGTGCAAGAAATTGCAGGAGCAATAAATAATCTTTGTAATTTCTGTGAAACCCCTCTGGTATTTAAAATTTTGTTTTTCTATCCTTTGATAAATAAGTTTCGAATCATTAAACTCTGAAAATGAAATATTTTTTTTCCTATAAGTCCACGTGTAAATTAATGAAGATAGTGAAATCATGTTGGTTGATTTCTAACCACAACAAATTCACCAAATGACAAGGAAAAAAATTATGTGCTTAAATCAATATGGTGTTGACACTTAGGCCCCTCAAAGCCGTTGATGTTTAACGTTATCGAAACCACATTGGTTTGATTTTACATGAGATTCTACGAAATGTCGATCGGCACTGCCAATAATGCGCCGACACCTAACGCGGCTTCAATCTTTTCACAAACTACATTTCTCCTCTCTCTCTATATACAGACACAAGTTCTGTATAGCGCCAATAATTCCACAAATTATTGAGAAATTACTGCTTATAACTTATAAGCTTATAAGCATAAGTCACTTCAATAAGAGCTATCCTAGTGAGTTATAAGTGGGTAAAGTCTAGATTGCACTATGAATTCACTACTTGTAAGCTTATTAAGCTTGAGTGAACTCATGGAAGATCTATGTTTCGTTCACACATCAATACATGGATGTATGTATTTTTGTGTCAACGAATGATAATAATAATAATAATATAATTTGGTGTACTTAGTCGTGTATAACATGAAGTACACCGTTATAAGTATTGCAATTTGCAATCTCAACTCTTTACAAGTGATGTACGTAATCAGACCGTAGCCCATGAGTCTCGATTTAAAAGAAAAAATCCAACCCATGGAAAATATTTATCTTGCAATCTTGATTGCAACATAAAGATATATAATAATAATTATTATTATTATTATTATTAGAAGCAACTTGACACAAAGGCATACAAAAGCATGTGTTATATGCCATCAAGATTGGGAGCAAAAAGGGTCTTCTACAGATGGACTTGGAAAAAAAAGGGGGGGCCAACTAATGATACAACACTAGCCATGGTCCATTTGCAACAAACATATTATCACATTTCTTTTATTTATTTATTTATTAAAAAACCATTATTTCAATCTCATTATGGAGTCAGAAATTTATGCCATTGAATATTAATGATATATCCTAGAGAATGATGATTATGAATAGGACCCATGATGATGGTAATAAGAGCCAATAAGTGACCTGGGAAAAGGCAGCACAATTAAAAAATGAAAATAAAAAAAGGGGATTGATTTTGAACTATATTATATAATGATGTCTGAAAATTCCACTGTAAAGAGAGGCCAACACCCACATTTAAGATTCTTGTTTGTTTGTTTGTTTGTAAAGTCAATGCCAAAACAATATTTTCCTCCAATGAAGAAAAGACTTCTTATTCTTATTATTATGTATTTATTTATATATATACATAATAATAAGAATATTATGGATGATCTTTTCAACAGGGAGGCATGGTAGTGAGCTTTATATCAGATTTCATACATTTGTGGGACATATTTCATAACCCCACCAAAAAAGTGCACTTTAAATATGAATATATATGCGTAAGAAAGTGCGCTAAAAATGACTCTAGGGGAATGAAGTTAGTCAGATAGTGAGTGTGTGTATATATATATATATGATATATGTGGTGGCTCTACATACATATTTATAATATATGATTATATATAAGATGATTCTCTGTGTTTGTCTACAGATACAAACATAATGCATATATAAAAACAATATATATTATATAATATATAGAATAGATGGTGTTTGTGTCTCTCTTAATGCCTCACACATGAGAGTATGTGTAGATTTTTAGATAGCAGGTGCTCTCTACTATGTAGTAGACAATAGGATTTTTTTTAAATAGTTTAATATATTAAGCTACTTGATTAATAAATTAATCCCTCCGATTTCTGAGATTAAAGTATACAATTTATTAGAACTTATATATAATTATTTAATTAATCACAATTAGGATCAGCAGACTCGGGTTACTATGTGCTAGGCTTATAGCAGGAAGATTTTGTGGGATCCGTAGCCTCTTTTTCTAGATTAGACATGATCTTATGTTTCTCTTTGTTATTTCATAAGATCAGTTTAGTACTAATCAAACTGCAATTATTGGCCTAAATCTTGACTCCCAACCCTAGATAGATCATACAGGATTTTATTTAGATATGGAAGATAGATTTAGGCATTATCAATGAGATACTGAATCAAGTGTTATATATATATAAACCCGCAAGGGTGGCCTAGCGGTTGGAGCAAGGGAGCTTGGGTCAATTGACCCAAGTTCGAATCCCCTTGTCAACGGTCGCTAGGTCGAGCTTGTCACACATGGTTAGCCTAGTGTGGTTTACATCTCTCGTATGGTTTGCAAGCTATTATACGAGAGTGTAGGTTTACCCAGTGCACCTATATGGTTGGCTGCGGGTTCCTGCATTACCAAAAAAAAAAAAAAAAAAAAAAAAAAAAGTGTTATATATATATAGATATTTATTTATTTTTATAATGGAACTGATAAACGCAGATGTGCACTAGGTAAATTGTTTTGGACAAGTTATATCTGACGAGCTTTTCCCGAAAAATGTTGGCTAGGGTCGAACATAGATCGTTCGACGCATGCAAATTAAAATTGGAGAAAAAAAAATAAACAATAAACATGTAGTTTATTATTTATCAAAATTCGGAAGCACCGTAGCAATATTCGCGCTGTTTTGACAGGGAGACAAACAGACAACATATGTTGTCCGCTTGGCTAATAATTATATGCTTATGATTAATTATACATACATAATCACCAAATCAGGAAGAACCCAGATATGGGAAAAGAATATGTTATGAATCCAAGAATTGGAATCTATATAAGATTTCAGTTTCTTGGTAATAACAAAATTTAAATAAATATTTCCAGAAACTGTATTCTTTGTTTCCATGTCTCCTTGGCATTATGGAAACAATAGTAAATTATTTGTTTATCTTACACTTAGATCCTGGACAATCGCCATGCTGATTTCAGCATATGTTTCGACTCTTGTTTTTTGTTTATTTTAATGTATTGATTGATTCCTCGGCAAACTGGCATGAACAAGTCAACTATATTTTATTTGTTTTACCGAGTTTCTGTCCCTTAATAATGTGTTCGTAATTTATTTCATTTATCGTAGAGATAAACGATGTTTCGACTTTGTGGCTTTTACCATTTCAGTATGGGCTAATGATTATCACTTTCATACCATATATGAATAAATAATAATGCATGAGATGCAGAGAGCACAACTAGAGAAGAAACGACGTACCTTATGAATTAAAGCTTTCATGTAGCGTAATATATGATCCCCAGAGTTTGTTCTTTCAACGAACGGCCATTCCCTTCTAGAACCCTGCAAATTGTTACGGATAATCATTAGCAAAAAAAATAAAAAATGGTGCTTACTATTCGTTGAAACTGCAGAGCAACGTCTTAACAACAGCCACTAAATTCAGATTAAATCTCGCACGTGAGCGATTTCTCGAAATGCAGTATCGAAAACCTTCTGACGAGAGATGATCCATAGGGAATAATCAATCCAACGGAATATAGACAAATAAGGATATCTCAACTGCTAAGATTAAGACAACAAAAATTCATTCAAGAACTAAAACCTTCTAATAAGAGAGATTTTTGTTAACCGTCAAAGTAAACAGAATGAGACGAGAAGAAAATTATATCCTTGCATAGGAAAGCATATTACAATATTCTAGATGTCTTCAGAAGGCAAACCCGTGAGAGAAAAAAAAAACTACCACCTGGTTAAAACGAGGAAAACACAGCTGGCATGTATATATATACCATTTTAACATGCAAAACCAATAAAGGAGACAAGTAAAAAATAACTACAATTATCAGAACAAAGTGAATGGAGGCCAAACATTCTAGAAAACTTGCATTATGATCCACATCCATTATATAACAGGACCGTGGGTTCAAAATACGGAAAAGAAACTCGCAAACTTCTTGATTTTCAAACAGTATTACGTTAACTCCAGCAAACAGAAAGAAATTTGAACTGGCCACAAATCACAAGTACCTCTCCCTCTAGCTGGCACATGTTGACTATCCTTTTAGTGACCTACATTAGCAAATAGCAACATGATTAAATTTCTTTCAAAAGAAACAATATAAATACTACAGCTGCGAAATATTAAACAATTTGGTAAACTTCTGTACCTTTTCTTCGAGAAGATTAAAATCAAGGCTACTGGCGCCAAAGTAATCGAGGCGGAATTTAGGCTTCGCCCCTGAATTGACTGTGTCATTAACGCTCATGACAACCTGATCAAACATTTGCAATTAGTCCGAGCATTACTAAATAATAACATAACAAATGTGATATACCACTCGTTTTTACCAAATCAATGCCGATAGTTTCATGGATTCCAGTCTCTAAATCCAGCTTTAAGTTTAGTTCCCACACCATTTGTACCAGCTACAAAATATAGGAATCTCCTACGAAGCATTGACAACATTATGTATGAAATATATGGCAGAGGACATGAAATCGAACCGAAAAAAAATCTCTGTAAAAAATGGGCAAAAGACGCAAAACCAAGAGCTAGGTTGTGGCTGCACCAGATTGGGAATCTGATAAATAAAATTCGACAATATCAACAACGGCAATTGAATTTAAATTCTAAAATAACAACATCATAGTGTAATAACCTTCTTCATATCATTACCAAATCAATGCCAATAGTCTCGTAGTTTACCGTCTCGAGAGCCAGTTTTGAGTTTGATTCCTAAATCCTACACCAGCTGCAACGGAATCTCCTACTAAGCATTCACGATATTTCTCAGATTGCGATACGAATTACGGCAGATAGCATGAAATCAAACGGAAATATGTATAAATAAAGCGAGAATGAACAGAGCCCGATGAAGCAAGCGTAATCATAAGCTACTTCTCATATCATTTCTCAAGAATCCATCAAAGTAAACAAAACAAAACACAATAAACACAGATCTAGGGTTTGCTGTAGCTGCATCCGCTTCAGAATCTAAGAAATCCAATTCGACAATAGACAACAGTAATCTAATTTTAATACAATAAATGCTATCGACCAAACGACGCGATCAGTGTGCAGCAATTTCACAGTTTCGAGTGAATAATTGTTCTATCATACTCTACAACCTCTTAGTAAAATTCTTCATACCAGCGAATTACATGAAATTAGAAAAATATGAAGGAAAAAAAACCTTGTTCTGTAATAAAAGCATGATCGGCATTCAAGGATAATTGATCCAGCTAATGAATGATACTACAATTTACATACCTGGTTGAAGGATCCATCCGGAGCATAAAATTCCTGGAGCCATGTCCGCAATTCTTCGAGCGAGTTATGAACCAGCATTTTGCGCAGCCGTTTCGACATGGTTTTTTGGTCGAAATTGAAACTGGATATACCGCTGTTTGTTTCACACTTTTTCTTCTCTACGTGTATTACACTCGTGGGCTTAGAACTTGTTCTTTTGAAGTTTGTATTGAGTATGGCCTCTTCGTTCTTTGTTGCACGAAGAAGCCCAGTTTCTTGTAGTCCAGCCCAAAATTTCATGAATTTTGAATATTTAAATTTATAATAACATTTATTATTTATTATTATATACTTATTCGATGTATTTTAAATAATTTATGTGAATAAAAATAAAAATATTTATGTATTACGTATTTTGCAATTCCAGAAAAAAAAAAATCGAAAATATATTTATCAATTTGATCAATCATATATACACCCAACACCATCATAGTACGACAAAGAACTAATATCCATGCTCACCCATTCACTCTCAGTTTTACTCAGAAAAACTCACAGAGGAGAGCACAGGTTCGATCACGCAAAGTTCACCGACTAACCAAATCAACTCAGCTCTCAGAAAAGAAGATTTTAGAGTAGGTTTAGGTCATTGTACATGTCTTAATCGTCTCCACTATGTATACCTTGTATCTATAGAAGTCAAGTCAAAAATAGCTCGTGAAGGCAACACCAGAGAGTCAAAGTTAGGCGCTTACAGTGGCATTTGACCCCCTACAGTTGAAAAGAGTCTTCAGACAGTACAAAAAGAAGAAGATAGAAAGAGGGTCGAAGAAAAGTTAGGGATGTAAATGAGAGTAAGGCCAGAGAGAAAATAGAGGGTATTTAAGTTAGAAATTGAAAGTTTGGGATCACACAACATAAATCAACGGATGAGATAAGTTATTAATCCACACTCGGGCTCTCATAATACCTTATTAGGCCTATCCGGTGGTGGGCAACTTTGGTGAAAAATGGACTCTAGCCCGTCACATCATTAGGGCCAAAAGCTCTACAAGCACATTTGTACCATCGACTGCAAACGTTTGTGTGATCTGAAAGATATTGCACGACAAGCACATTTGTACAATCGACTACAAACGTTTGTGTGATATAAAAGATATTGCACGAGAATGAAAATAATGATCAGTCTCAACAATTCTTTCTACTAGAGAAAAAAAAAGATGTTTTTGGCCATATTCAAACACCTAAATCCATGAACTGAAATAAATTGTAATTCAACCCAGCTTCTGAGAAAAAGTCGAGCCCAACATAGCCCGTTTAAGAAATCAGCCCAATCTGGTAAAAAAGAACTATGGTTCCACGCTTTATTCGCAATTTCGAGTCATTGGAGATTTACTTAAAATCGTGTTACATTACGCAATTCACTGCAGAGAACTGCAGGGAACGCGTCCCCTACAACTGCACATTTCATCAGTCAAAAAAACGACGTGGTAACTCGCGGTCGTAGTGCCCACGCGCCTTCTTCGGTTAAAAAATAAGCGCAGACCAGCCGAGATTGAAAAGAAAATCCATTTTTTCTTCATTTTCAAATCCATCAGATTTCTTTTCTTTTTCAATTCCTCGTGTTTGAATTGTCAGAGATCTTTCTCTTCCTTTTCTTCGTTCATTTTTTCTCGAATCTGAATCCGCTCCCCTAGCCCATACTTTTGACAAATATACGTATATATATATATATATACAGTAAAAGGAAAGTAGATCCAAGTGAAATTGAACCAATTGAATCAATGCAATGGCAGCTGAAAATAATGGAGTCGACATAGAAACGTCGGAGGACAATGAGTTTTCGTCGGGGAGGGGTGTGGGCGGCCGGAAATACAGGCCCGTGTTTGCACATGACCACGATCGAGCCATTCTCGAGATGTCTTCGATTGATCCCGGCGTCCGGGCATCTTCTTCGGCTTCATTGAACGATGCCAAGTAACTATGATTTTTCACTTTTTTTTATTGATGAATCCCTTATGTTTGGATTTGGATGTGTTTTTAATTTTATTTTGTGTCATGGTTTTAGTAATCGAGCATGGTTTTTTCATTGTTTACGAGCATTTTATGTTTGCTGTTTTTGGCCTGAGCTAAGTGCAAAACCTGCATTATTAGTTTCAATGCTTCAAAGTAGAACAAAAACTTCAAAGTTGTGTTCGGATTGGATTTTCGATTTGCTCGAAGTTAATATACTAGGTAGACAATAGTTACCCAATTGCTGGTCCTGTCTATTGTTTCCTTGCTTATTGATTGAATTGTCTAGATATATTAGCTCGTAGTCGAAGGCTGGCTCTTAAATTTGCTTGTTGATCATTCATACTGGTGTTCAATTTCGGGGTGCAGAAAAAATCTGAAGTGGTGGATATTATGGAAGTGTGAAGATATTATGGGATAGGAAACAGGAAAGTAATTGGCGGGAATGCTAAATCTATGTATGAGATCCCGTAATACATTTTCATTATTGAGTGGAAGTAAGCCTAAAGCACATAATCTAACCACTATAGACAAATTAACTGTTGTTGATTTCATCAAGTGCCACTCTCCATCTTTTAAAGTTTACAGGTTATTTTTGTTTTAGTGTTTAGCATTATTACATTCTTTGCGTGGATTTATTATATTTGTCTATATAGCTCCTAACTGTATCATGAATGCCTTGAATCCTTTGAAACATTTAGCATCACCGAAACTTAGGCTGTATACCTGGAGTCAAACTTGTAACCGTGAGCGACACCAATTCCAAGCAATATTTGTCCTCAATAAAGCCATGTGTAATTTGGACGTTGCTCCTATTCTTCTTTCATAAAGCCTTTCTGAACTGGTTTTATCCACAATATTGTGCTGTGGTAGTTTTGCACATTGGTTGATTGCATGGTGCTTAATAGATCCCTTTCTTGGAAATTATTTTCCTGTTACATATCTTCTTCATTAAATTGTATGTTTATATGACCCTTTTGCATTTGTAGAAAAGTTAATGCCGGTATGCCGCAAAACATGAATTCTGAGGCAAGAGACAGGTCATTGCCTAGTCATGGAGGTGTTAATGGCTCTCAGACTGAATCCAAGTTGGAATTATTTGGTTTCGACTCACTCGTTAACATTTTGGGGCTTAAAAGGTATGCCAGAAATGATTGCTGTTCTCGTGATTATAAATTTGAGGTTGCCACTTATCCTAACTATTTCGTGTATTATAATATTTTAATGTTCTTCTTTCATTCAATAATGATATAATCATATGAGCTTTAGAGTTGAAGGTTACTTAGTCATATGATGGGTATTCCTGATAATATTTTATATTAAATGTTTCTGTGGCTGTAGTCTGAATTGTTTTCATGAGTGTTCATGTCTCAGTATGGCAGGTGACCAGGCTCAAACACCATTAAGTCCTGTAGATGGAGATGATATACCGGTTAATGTTGAGCGTCCACAGGTCAGTGAATATTCTGTATTTTTGTGGTCTTGCTAATCTATGCTTTCTTATGTTGTGCCCGTATATGACTTTGCTTGGCTCATGGTTGTCTTAATGGTGTTCACATGCTTGTGTTTTTAGTATTTCCTGCTGTCATTTGCCTCTTATCTTTCTAAGACCAGGGAGTGGCTTCAAATTAGATTTTGTTTTTGTGAATAAAGATGGAGTGCACATCTTCTCTCATCAATTTCTTCTGATGTGAGTTACTTATCTGGCAGGCCAGCAGTGTCAAACTAGGGACAATGATGGGTGTGTTTGTGCCTTGTTTGCAGAACATTCTGGGAATTATTTACTACATCAGGTTTTCATGGTAAGCTCCATGTTGCTGAATTTTCTTTATTGAGTTTGAAATGCCTGTGTGATGCTGAAGATCCTTGATCCTTGATGCACATAAACAAAATGATTTTTTTCTTGGGATTTTAGCTCAATTTGACAGCCAGAATTTTTAATATTTGATGTATATTTATGCCTGAAAATGCTTCAAACTTCTGAAGAGAGATGTGTCTATACCGATGTATAATATACCTGAAAATGTTTCAAACTTCTGAAGAGAAATGTGTCTATACATCGGTATTTTCTATTGTTTTTAAGATACATTTAAGACCCTTTTCCTTCTTGATATTTCCGTTTTGATATAATAATTTTGGAACGTCAAAGCGACTCTATGATGCATGGCTCATTGACAATTGAATTTTATGTGTTTGATCCTTTTGCTCTGGTTGCCTCTGATAGACATTTTTCTGTTTGATCCTTTTGCTCTGTTAGACTTGAGCTATGTTTATTTCATCTTTGCTTGCTCTATTAGTTGGTTTATATGTTTCATATGTTTGAGAGAGGTTACAGGGTCTGGAATGTGAAATTTAGTTGTGAATGTGTTTTTTTTCTCAGCTAGTGTAAGAATTTGCGAAAAGAAATGTATGCTTAATCAGATTGGAGGTACAAAAAAATACTATATTAATCTGTTGAGACTAGGGTAGACTGGAAATATGTAATCTCTGATTGTTGTTGTTTTTGTTTCAAATTTGCGGCATAAATTGTTTCCAGTTTAATGTGTATTTAGTTCTGTATATCTATAAAATTGTATTCTGATTTACACTGTCAACTTTAGGATTGTGGGTATGGCTGGGATTGGCCAATCATTATTGCTGGTTGCCTTCTGTGGTTCATGTACTTTCCTTACAACTATATCTTTGAGTGCGATTGCCACAAATGGTGCAATGAAGGTATAGCTCACATCTTTCTTTGTTGACAACATATGCTCGGTCCTAGTGAGAAGTATTTAGTATGGCCTAATTTTGGAGATTCGTAGATAATGTTTAGTTTAGTTAATCATTTGATTGACATGCACACTTAAGCTATCCTTTGTAATCCAGGGAGGGGGACCTTATTATCTCATAGGTCGAGCCTTGGGTCCAGAGGTTGGAGTAAGCATTGGTTTATGTTTTTTCCTTGGAAATGCAGTTGCTGGTGCTCTGTGAGTATACATAATTGAAATAGTGGGGGTGTCCTTTTCTTTTCATGTCTCAGGTTCAGCGGGCATGTGTGCTATTTTAATTTAATCTTTTGTGCTTGTTTGTTCTCCCTCGATACAGTTATGTTTTGGGAGCTGTGGAGACTTTCCTAAATGCTTTACCTCAGGCAGGGATTTTCAGAGGTAAATATGATGAAATGATCTTCAGTTGACTAGTGAAGATATCCTGATAGGTGTTCGTTTTGTTGAAACCTTTTTTCTATATATTTTCCGTCCTTTTGTACAATCATTTTTACTAGTGAAGATATCCTGATAGGTGTTCGTTTTGTTGAAACATTGTTTCTATATATTTTCCGTCCTTTTGCACAATCATTTTTATGTATTCATATGAGATGCGAACATGATACACACCACAAAAAAAAAAAAGGAAATACAATTTATTATAGGAAACAATCAATCCTAATGACTATCCCTTTTTCGCCAAGTTAATCTAGACTAGATCGATGGATACGGAATTATGAAGAGATTCTTAGACCTCATTTTTATAGAGTACCTGTTAATATGAATGATAAATCTTTCTGGTAAGATGAAATCTTTAATAAGGTTGCTTTAACATGTTCTGTCAGCAATTCTTTCCATGAGCAATTGTCATCTTTCCTATGTAAATCCGATATTTCAGCTTTATGAGTTTACCAAATTATTCTCATTCTTGTAGATACGCAGACCTTTGTGAAGGTAAATGGCACAGACGTCGCACAACCTATTACCAGCCCAAGTTTACATGACTTACAAGTTTATGGGATTATTGTGACAATCATCCTATGTTTCATAGTATTTGGTGGAGTGAAAATGATCAACCGAGTTGCACCAGCCTTTCTTCTACCTGTTGTGTTTTCATTGTTCTGCATATTTGTTGGGATATTTTTGGCGAGGACAAACTATCCAGCAGGTTAGTTCCTTACTATTGGTACTTTACCTTTTATCTTTTTAGAAAATTTATGCTTAATGTCTCTAATTGCTCTTGATCTTTATTTATTACTATTGTAATAATTGTGAATTTTCAATGGAAATGTGCAAAGCTGTTTTTTATCCCGTACAAGTAATGTCACCTAATAGGAGTTTATTCCTGCCATAAGCTGTTGAAATTATTCTTCCCACGCTGATGCTTGATGTTTTTCTACTGGAATCAGGAGTTGAATATGCAAATATTATTTTTGTTTGAATATTCATATATTATGTTTGTGATTTCAATCCTGTGGAGAAATATTATTTCATCTGAAATATATTTCACATCAAGGCTCAGTATGCTGATGTGTGGAAAACAAAAAAAGGATGATACATGCACTTGTGTCATCTTTCTTTAAGTGTCTTGCTGAAAAAATGAAAGAGTATCCATGTAGGCAACCCGAAATAGATATGGATACGAAATGATTAGGGTTTTCATTCGAGAGATATGTATATGATAGCACTGTTAGATCATGCTGTGCTTGTTTTCTACCTCTCCAGGTTGTTCGTATGTTTGTTTATTTCTCCCTTTTTTTTTTTGTGTGTGGTTTTTCCATTTGAGTATTTATCTATTTCATTCTTTTGACTTTTGGTTGGGTTTTATTGTGTTCGTATTGCACATGGTACAGAGGGAATCACTGGCTTGAGTTTGCAATCTTTCAAAGATAATTGGGGATCAGAGTATCAAATGACTAATAATGCTGGAATCCCAGATCCTACTGGGAAAATATACTGGAATTTCAAGTGAGGCCTCCTCATATAACTTATTTCCTTCTCCATTTATCTTATTTACTTATCCTACTTTTGTGGTGTTCTGTTATAAAATTCCCAGTCTGGCCGAGTAACTTATTTGATCCTCTTCTTTTGTCATATTTAATGGGTTTATTACCAGAAAATCCTTAATGTAGAATGCCTTTCCTCAGTATGCAAACTTTGACAAAATTTCCACATTTTCTTGTGGCATTTAGTTACCCATATTCGGCTTATCTGGAGTTCACTTGCCGTGCACGATCAGTTTCATGATAATTATTTGAACTGATTCGTTGATTTCGAATTATTGACGGGGTTATGGGTACACAGCAAGATGGTGGTTGACTATGTTCATAATAAATTGGATACACAGCAAGATGTTGTCATGTGGCATTGCTTTATTTGTTTTACTTGCACTCTTTACCTGAAACCATCATATAGTCCTCATTGGCATGAGAAAAAAATATGGGTATTCTTAGTTCTAGCATATTAGGTAGAATAATGCCTCTGTATATATATCATGGAAGCTTTTTAGACATTCATGAGAAGCTGGTTACTGAATACTTCTATAGACGCAAAAGGTTGTAATAAAATGGATGATAGATGTCAAATGATGTGATAGTCGAAACATAGTATGTAAGGATGAGAGGAACTATGCCATATGGATTCTAACTGTTACCTTTTTATATTATTGTCAGTGCACTGGTAGGTCTATTTTTCCCAGCTGTAACGGGGATTATGGCAGGTTCAAATCGGTCTGCATCGCTTAAGGACACTCAGCGCTCCATTCCCGTTGGGACTTTAGCTGCAACTTTGGCAACTACAATTTTATACTTGGTCACTGTGTTGTTTTTTGGAGCTCTGGCAACCAGGGATAAACTTCTGACTGACAGGTAACATATGCAAATTCTGCTTAGCTGCCTTTGTTCTTTTCTACACCATAGTTCTCGTATGGAGTTTTCTAGCTCTATGTACTCTGCATTATATGCTATACTTTTTGCAGGCTATGAAGTTCATGAAATTGAGTCATCATGACAGACTCAGTTTCAATTTTTTAAGCCATGGCCCACATGTACTCAGTACTTCTATTTGCAGTATGCATTCCGTATTTTGTGCAGCTGATGTGTAGGAGTTACAGCAAGAAATCCTTTTGACATAGTACATTCTCCATTATAACCATATTTAGTCAAAATAAGTATATGTTCAATTTAGAATACAATTAATGGGTTGTTGACTAGCCAATCAGGGGGTCAAAGTGGACGATGAATTCATCATAACTGTTAAGAATGGCAGGGATCACATAATGGCCTGTCTATCGAGGATGTTGTATAGGATCTAAAACACTTTCTTTTGTTTTCTTTAAATAGTGGAATTCCTAGTAGCAGTATCAGTACTTCTAATTTAAACTATAAGAATTTGAAGGATAATCATGTATTTGTTCCTGATTTTATCTCAAAATCTAGTTGCAATAAATCAAAATAAAATGCTTGAACTTAAAATGTGCTGCTTTACAGGTTACTTACAGCTACAGTTGCTTGGCCTGTACCTGCTATCACATATATTGGTATTATTCTCTCAACATTAGGCGCAGCTCTACAGAGCCTGACTGGCGCCCCTCGTCTTCTTGCTGCAATAGCCAATGATGATATCCTGCCTGTTCTTAATTACTTCAAAGTGGCAGATGGTAGCGAACCTCATGTTGCTACACTGTTCACCGCCTTCCTCTGTATTGGATGTGTTATTATCGGCAATCTGGATCTTATTACTCCAACTGTTACTATGTTCTACCTTCTGTGCTATGGAGGTGTCAACTTGTCTTGCTTTCTTTTGGATCTTTTAGATGCGCCTAGCTGGCGCCCTCGCTGGAAATTTCACCACTGGAGTCTCTCCCTTATTGGAGCATCGATTTGTATAGGTTAGTTTCCATGCTTAACCATAAATGAAATCTATTGGATAACTTCTTAAGGGAAATCAATCGATCAAAGTTGCTACAGGAAACTTAGTGTAGATAAATGTAGTCATTCGCTATAACACGTCTTCCGAAGAAAAATATTGTTGGAGAGTTTGATTATTTCCCACATATCACCGACTTTATTGCCAGTCTTAAGGCAATTGACAAAGAGTTGTAGGATGTTAGTTGGATTTTTGACTTCTGCTTTGAGACATGTGTAGTAACCATGCAATGTAATATATATGTTTCAGTTTCTTTACTATTCTGAATAACACAAGTATTTATTATACCTTGTAAATGTCTTTTGCAGTTATCATGTTTTTGATTTCGTGGGCTTTCACCGTGGTGTCTTTAGCCTTGGCAAGCCTGATATATTATTACGTGAGCATCAAAGGAAAAGCTGGTGACTGGGGCGACGGTTTCAAAAGTGCTTACTTTCAACTTGCTCTTCGAAGTCTCCGTTCTTTAGGAGGTTCGTACACATTATTTCCTATACAGATAAAAAATCATATTTCTTAAGATAAAATTACCTCTTTAATACTTGAAATTTATTTATGCGACGACAGCAAGTCAGGTACATCCAAAGAACTGGTACCCTATCCCCCTCATATTCTGCCGCCCATGGGGAAAATTGCCTGAGAATGTACCATGCCACCCTAAACTTGCCGATTTTGCAAACTTCATGAAGAAGAAAGGCAGGGGTATGTCTATATTCGTATCTATTTTAGACGGTGAGTACCATGAATGTGCAGAGGATGCAAAAGCTGCATGCAGAGCACTTAGTACGTACATCGAGTACAAAAAATGTGAAGGTGTGGCAGAGATAGTTGTAGCCCCTTCAATGTCCGATGGCTTTCGTGGAATCGTTCAGACAATGGGTTTAGGAAATCTGAAGCCCAACATCGTTGTAATGAGGTACCCTGAAATATGGCGTAGAGAGAATTTGACCGAAATACCCGCAACTTTTGTGGGAATTATAAATGATTGTATTGTTGCAAATAAGGCTGTTGTTATAGTGAAGGGGTTAGACGAGTGGCCGAACGAGTACCAAAGGCAGTACGGTACTATCGATTTGTATTGGATTGTGAGGGACGGTGGTTTGATGCTTCTTTTATCGCAGCTGCTTTTAACGAAGGAGAGTTTCGAGAGCTGCAAGATTCAGGTTTTCTGTATTGCAGAGGAAGATTCCGATGCGGAGGAACTGAAAGCCGATGTGAAGAAGTTCCTTTATGATTTGAGAATGCAGGCTGAGGTGATTGTGATTTCGATGAAGTCGTGGGATATTGCTCAGGCGGAGCAGCAGGATGAGTCTGTGGAGGCTTTCAGTTTGGCTAGAGAGAGGATTAGCGGTTATTTGGCGGAGATGAAGGGGAGGGCGGAGAGAGAAGGGCGGCCTTTGATGGCGGATGGGAAGAATGTGGTGGTGAATGAGGCGCAGGTTGAGAAGTTTCTTTATACAACTTTGAAGCTGAACTCGACTATATTGAGGTACTCGAGGATGTCGGCGGTGGTGCTGGTGAGTTTGCCGCCGCCGCCGCTGAACCATCCGGCCTACTTTTATATGGAGTATATGGATTTGTTGGTTGAGAATGTGCCCAGGCTTTTGATGGTACGTGGGTACCGTAGGGATGTCGTCACTTTGTTTACATAGTCCTTTTTCTTTTTATCATTTTTTTTCTTCCCCTTTTAATTACTTATATAGACTTTATTTTCTTTTCCTTTTAATGAAAAATAGTGTTTTCTTTTTTGTTTCTCTTTTTTTCTACGGTCTTCATTTATAAATTACCACGCTTAGTCACTCATTTATTTTTAATTTGTCATTTTGTTTATTTTTGGTTATATTAATTGAGGTTGTACCTCTTTGTTCATCATTAGACCATAACTTTTGTTAGAGAATTTTTTTGAAGATATGTATTTTCCCTTCTATTTTCTTTGTTTTTTTTGGAGAAATTAAGAAATTGGTATATTTTTGTTGGAATCAAGCTCCGGTGATGATTTGGAAAATATATTAAGTTAATCTGTGTTAAATTATGGGAAAAATATCGTTTTCACCTTTCAAGTTTGCACTGATTTTACAATTGGTCTCTCATGTTTCAAAAATTTGACATTTTTAGTCATTTTCCGTCAATTTTTCGTTAGTACTAACGAAATCAAGCGTGTGGCGATGATCGCCTTAACTGACGAACTAACAATAAATTGACGAAAATGACCAAATGTGCTAAATTATTAAAACACGAGGATCAAATGTGTTTCTTGTGAATATGGGTACCTAAATGTAAAATCGATGTAAACTTGAGGGGTGAAAACTGCAATTTTTCCGTTAAATACTCAATTATTTATACATAAGCCCAAAAACTCCACCCAAACTTGCATTGCAGTCCAACTAGGGCATATTTGCAGTCCAAAATGAAACAGAGCATATTTCTGTAGCAATTGTACATTGGGCCAGGTTGTTATAAATTACATAAACGCCCCTCGGCAAAGGTACAATAACAACACCACATAACAAGTTGTACCTTGCGTACTTAATCTTAATTATACTGTAATAGTAATTAGTCCTAATTACTCACCTTCTCTAATTTTCTTCCTTATAACTGACCCTTTTAAACACCTAAAACCTCCATTGCTCTGCAACTCCGAAACCCCCACGCTTCGCCGAATTTCACACACATATATACATATATACATACACAATCACACATATATATATATACATATATACAGTCGATAGATACACACACTAACTCTTGTTCGATGGACGACGGAGAAGGGGGTTTAAGCTTTGATTTCGAGGGCGGGTTGGACATCGGTCCCTCACACCCGACAGCATCCGTACCCGTAATCCAATCGTCAGCGAACGCGAACACAGCTTCTGCCGCGGCGGCGGCGGCTAATCCTTATAACCCTTCCGCCGCACCCGTGCCGGCGACGCAGGCGGCGGAGGGGATGAATAACGGCGGCAGACGGAGCTTCCGGCAGACGGTGTGCCGTCACTGGTTGCGATCTCTGTGTATGAAAGGCGACGCTTGTGGATTCCTTCATCAGTACGACAAGTCTCGGATGCCTATTTGCCGATTTTTTCGCCTGTACGGCGAGTGCCGCGAGCAGGATTGTGTGTACAAGCATACGAATGAAGATGTCAAGGAATGCAATATGTATGTCTACTGTGGTCTCAATTTTAAGTTAATTTTTTCTTCTTCAGTTTTAGTGATAATTTTTCTCTTACTTGCAATTCGAATCATGTTTCTACAAAGTATGTAGATTGATGAATTGACACATCTGTAGCTTTTTTTCCTTTATTACTGCCATTCGCCGTTGTATGTTTGGGGCAGGTGGATATTGGAACAAATTTAAAGTATAATTTGAGATTTAATGTATATATAGACGACATAGTCTGATCCGATTGTGGTCACAATGTCTAGGGTTTACTTCACGGAAATTGCCAAATGTATAATTTATCTTGATCTTTCTCCACTGAGTACCAAATGTAATTGCATTAGAATCCCGTTGTGCGACAACTGATGTATGTTAAATAACTGTTTTTTTTCCTTTTCGTTTCTTGTTTCTAATGTTGTATGTTTTGTGACTGGTGGTGGAATTTTACAGGTATAAATTGGGGTTTTGCCCAAACGGCCCTGATTGTAGGTATAGGCATGCGAAGCTGCCTGGACCTCCGCCTTCTGTTGAAGAAGTTCTTCAGAAGATTCAGCAATTGACTTCATACAACTATGGGAAATCTAATAACTTTTTTCAAAACCGTAATTCTAATTTCGCACAGCAGACCGAAAAACCTCAGTTTCCACAAGGACCCAATGGTACACATCAAGTAGGAAAAACCAACGCAGCAGAGCCTGGTAACCTTAATCAACCAGCTCAGCAGTCTCAACAACCGGGCAGCCAAGGTCAACTGCAGAGTATACCAAATGACCAGCAAAATCAAGCTAGTCGGAATGCTACGCCCCTGCCTCAAGGAGCATCTAGGTGTGTCCCGAACAAGGTCTTTAATTAAGTAAAACAGTTGATGTATTTATATGGTGATATTATTTTAACTTTTACGAGATCTGTCACACCTTAGTATTAACAGTTTTTGTTCATGTGATTAATTGTTTATTCTTACTCTCTAGATGATGTACTTAATAGCTTTCCTTCATGTTGTTTTATACTATTACTCCTTGGTTTGAGAACTAAAATTTATCTGGAAAGAGTTCCTTAATATTAAATAATATGCAATTTTAATTTTCACGAAATTGCTATGTTTCTGAAGGCATACTGTAAAGGTCTTTTAAGTATTTTCATAGAATGAAACAACCAAATGTTTGTTGTCTCTTCAGTATTTTGTTGATTAGGTGCTCTCTTAGTGTATGTATGCACTTACTCATCTCAATGAGCATGTTGATGGAAAATAAGTCCTATTTTGTTGATGCATGAAATGTGTATTGGCCTGCTGATATATAATTCCTTAGACTTAGCTAGAATTCTAATTATGAATTACTTATGTGGGATTAAGCATGTAATGCTTTCAAATTAGGTCCTCATAGTAATTCAGATTTTTTGTCAAATGCTATACTCTGCTACTCGAGCCTTGAGCTAATAAATGAGCAAGATTCTTCTGTTTTTTTTTTCTTGGTTGTATGGGGGACTTGATTTCCTTGCAACACTATTTAACTGCAGACCGTTGCTACATATGATTGAGTACTCTTCAGATAGTTTGTACATTTATCATGTAGCTTTCCTTTACTATTTTTCCAAGAAACAGCTCTCTCTTTCCCTCTCTCGCTCTCACACACACACAGGCACTCGAACACAAGGACAAAGGTTGATTCAGTTGAGGTATGGTTACTTATACACGAATCCATGTGCATATAATCATTATAGGTACTTTGTGGTGAAAAGTTGCAACCGCGAGAATCTGGAGCTATCTGTACAACAAGGAGTATGGGCAACTCAGAGAAGCAACGAGGCTAAACTTAATGAGGCTTTTGAATCTGTTGAGAATATCATTTTGATCTTTTCAGTTAACAAGACTAGACATTTTCAGGTAATATTTCTTATTATGTTATTGACATCAGATAATGATCAAAATGCTCTATGAACTTAGGATTGTTTCAATATTGGACGATGTTTGCTTATTTATTGTCATAGTGATAGATCTATTTGTGGCTTAATAGGGATGTGCTAAGATGACATCCAGAATTGGTGGCTCCGTTGGTGGAGGGAACTGGAAGCATGCTCATGGGACTGCTCATTATGGAAGGAATTTCGCTCTCAAATGGTTAAAGGTATTCTCAAATGGTCAATATTTTGTCTTCTATAATTGTCTTGAGCACCAGTCTGCAGTTTCATTTTTCTACATGTTACGATTGCTTACCGAAACTAAGTGAAGTTGGTGATTATACTATTTTGTTGTAAAATAATATCATTGTTTTGTATATATTTGTTACCAAATTAAAACATTATCTATAATTAGTGCTGCTGGCCCTGGGCAATAATGTGAGAAAATTGTTATTTGCCTTTATCGTCCACCGTAGACTCTGTGGGAGTTGCACTTTCTGTTTGGTACTTTCATATTACATTGATGTAGCTATATCTGATCCTATTATATGCTAAATTCACAATGGACTGAAGCATTAACTGACCATGATACATGCTTGCAGCTCTGCGAATTGACCTTTGACAAAACTCGGCATTTAAGAAATCCATACAACGAAAACTTACCAGTGAAGGTACTTGTTGAATTTTATGTCTAACTGATATCCAAGATGTATTTGATATTATGATGTTTTGTACTTTTGTTTCTCTCTGCTCGTTTGATTGAGTAAAGGAGTTGAAAACATTTCAAGGCAGACAGTTTGACAGTTAAAAACAAAGATTCTTATTTTCTTCCATGATGGCTGCACTAAAATGGTAGTCCCAATAGCTCAAATCCTGGCTTTGTGGAAATCTTGTGAATTAAAATTGTCAATATTCGAGCATACAAAGTAAAAATCCAGTCAATGTTTTTGGTGGTTTTCGTTAGCCCTCTTGAACAGTTGGGCTTTCGAAGTTTATAACATTAGGGTTGCTGGAACTTTATATATATTATCAGAGGAATAATTGTAATGGTTCCATGAAAATCAAAATATAAACAGACTTATCTCAGTTATTTGAGATATCGATGAATGGTTTTATCTTTTACTTTCCAAAATTATTTTGAGATCTTCATATTTCCGATCTGCCCTGTCCTTTACTTGTATCATATCTATATGTGGACTTGCACAGTATAGTGAATAAACACACAATTAATCTCGTTGCAGATAAGTAGAGACTGTCAAGAACTGGAGCCTTCTATTGGTGAGCAGCTCGCATCATTGCTCTACCTCGAGCCAGACAGTGATCTTATGGTACTTGAATTTCACAAAGTTGAATTTCTGGATGTTTCACTGAACTGTATCTAGCATATGTTTGATTATCAACCGGCACTATATAATTGATTGAAATTTTAAATAATCGTCTTTTCCCAGGCGATCGCTATTGCAGCAGAACTGAAACGAGAAGAAGAGAAGGCAAAGGGAGTAAACATCGACAACGGAGCCGAAAACCCAGACATCGTACCCTTCGAAGACAACGAAGAAGAGGAAGAGGAAGAAGAAGAAGAAGAAGAAAGTGAAGATGAGGATGAATTCCCCGGACAGGCTTTCGGAGCTCAAGGTAGGGGTGTGGGTAGGGGGATGATGTGGGGCCCTCACATGCCCCCCCTTGGACGTGGTCCTCGCCCTTTCCCCGGTGTACGAGGATTCCCCCCCAACATGATGGGGGGTGACGGATTTCCTTACGGCCATGGCCCACCTCTTAACCATGATGGTTTCCCAATGCACGATCCTTTTGGTATGGTGCCACGTGGATTTGGACAGTTCGGTCCTAGATTCGGGGGTGATTTTGCGGGCCCCGCTTCCGGACCCATGATGTTCGCGGGTCGGCCTCCTGGTGGGTTTGGGCCGATGATGGGTCAGGGTAGGGGCCCGTTTATGGGTGGAGGAAGAGGTGGTCGGCCGGTGGGTATGCCGCCTCCTTTCTTTCCTCCACCGCCACCACCGGTGGCGGCACAGCCGCCTCCTCAAAACTCTAATTGGGTTAAGAGAGATCAGAAAGCACCGTATAGTGATAGGAACGATGTTTCGGATCAGGGTAAAGGACAAGAGATTGTTTCAGGTTCTTCGAATAGAGGGAATGCTGCTAAACGAGAGGAAAGTTACAGGAATGATGAAAGTGAAAGTGAGGATGAGGCTCCGAGAAGGTCTAGACATGGTGAAGGAAAGAAGAAGAGGCGCGGCTCTGAAGCAGAAACTGATGGTGAATTTTAAGTTTTTGGAAATTGAAGCAACTTTTCTTTGTAGGAAAATTGGATTTGGAACATACTTAATTTTTCATTTTCCTTTGCCCTTTAAAGCTATGTATGTACTAACAAAGAAGGTAGGATTATATATTTCATATTTATTTCCTCAGTGTTTTAGCAGAGGATTAATTGTAACTTAAAAACAGAAGTGATCAACGGTTATGTACAACAAAACTAGTTTTCAAGACAAATTTGCACATTCCACTTCGGATGGATAGAAATTTGTGTATTTATTTTTTAATTTTTTTGAAAAAAACTATTTTTTGTACATAATCAAATTTAACGAAATTTGGAAATCCTTTTGATTTTCACCAGGATATATAATAGTAAACTAACTTTAGAAATTTCAAAATTGTTTCTAAAATAAGAATTTCAAAAATGGGAAAGAACAGAAAGAATTGTTCCAAAGGCGAAAAAAATTGGATTGAAATCGCCTGAGAATTCACGAAATAAGATTTATCAATTACGACGTCACTTTGGACACCATTCCAAAAGCAGGTCTAGCGTACATATATGCGAAGGAAAGAGGTAAACAATGAAAACAATCAGCTATATACTTGAAACATTCATCAGGATCATATAAAGTCCCAGTGAACAAGTGTATAATTCTTTCTATTCACATTTTGCAGATCAAGAATAGTCTCCAATTCCGGCATCAAAATCTACTTCTCTAAATCTTCGTTTTTTTCACCTACTTCTGCAGATTGTGAAGCTAATGTTGAATCAGTCGATCCTACACCATCAGTCTTGCAAGTATCTGAAGATACTACCGCTTCGTCATTTGGTATAATCGGGCTCTGAGCTTCATCATCCGATATATTAGCAGAATTTGCTATTAGATTGTGGGACCCGGTAGATTCGATTTCTGTCAAGTCCTTTGACACTTGGCTAGGAACATTATTACCATCTGAAGTTGGTGAAGATTCCGGAAGTTCAGACATGGCAGTGTCGTCTTTCAAATCCTCAACAACATTGTCAGGTCCTCCATTGTCAGTTGAATGCTCATTAACTATTCTTTCATCCTCAAATGCAGACCAATCGGACTTCGTGAAATGCGAACCACCGCTGGTAGTGTACACGAGAAAACATAATTTGTTATATGGGTCGCATTGATATCGTTCACATAAAGAACAATTAGAATATATATCTTAATATGGTTCAATAACATAAAGATATATAGTATCTGAGTGTCAAACTTCCTCAAGTCTATCAACTTACGTTTCCTGGTCATCTTCCAAAGGAAGGGAAGAAATGACAACTTCAGCAGATTTATCGTCGAAGAACACATCCTGTGGAAGAAATATTTTAGCAACTCATTTTGATAATGGTGTTTAGTCGAAAGCTAACAAAGGTGTAATTGGAATAGAAACAGAGCCAGATAAATTGATTTCCGAAGATATAGGTGGTGATGACTTTTCATTCACATAGCAGGCATGAATTTTCTCAAAAGTATGCAAGAACAGGGACTTCAATGATCCATTTTCCGGACGTCTGGCGGTTATTTGTAATTCTTTTCTGTTTCTATAGCAAATTTTTTCCCCTCTCTATAGCAGTACTGGTGGAGAAGTAAAACGTTGGTTTGATTAGGGCATACATTGTACAACTTTAAACTTGACATCCAAACAGGCCATTCATTAGCAATCACCATCGAGAATATATTCAAAATAGCTAAAACAAAGTAGCTGAAACCAAGCTACATTGTTTCCAAACATTCACTAGCAGTTAAAGACAAACCTCGCTAATAACATCATTAGTGTAGTTTCCATACTGAAAGGCCTCGCTCAAGTTATTTGCCAAAGCTGCAACATCATAGTCCCTGTCTTGGTAATCATCATCATCACTATCTCTTGTTCGATCTTGTAGTGTGGAGGGCCTCCTGCAAATCCATATGAGTAGAAGTATAGAGCTACTGTAGGAGACATAAATCACTCGGAAAGAACCAAAAAAAAAAAAAAGGAAGACTATAGCATGTATAATATGACATAGGCCTAGCAACCAATGCTCTCAATAAACCAGCGATTATGCAAATTGTTACACATAAGCTAGAAGTGAAAAGTGATATTCATACCTCTTGCCTCCTAAACCAAATGTTTTGTGCATTTGTAGTAAGATTATTAATTAGGAGTTGACATCTCTGTTCACTACAACAAATATATATAGGAAGGGAAGCCTATGGCTTGAATATAAAAAAAACAATGTCTCAAAATGATAATAATATGCAAATATGACATTTCATCCCCATCCCCAACTCAGACATCAACTTGCTATCCATATGACATGGCATGAGATGCATATCCAAACTCTAGTCATGTGCATTATGCATAGACGTTGTCGTAATCGGTTTAAAGAACCAGAGACTCAACTGAGAAGCACTCACCCACATACCCAATGGAAGACGTTCTCCACTGCATTTCGCTTTAACAACACATTTGTCTGCCAATCGACCCAATCACCATTGTCCTGCCAGGAGAAGATACATGATCAACTTCGCTAGCAAATACACCCAATGTAAAAGAAATAGATGCTTCCACTGAATTCCACAGTTGCAATTACAGAGGAAAAATTAAAGGAAAGCAAGTGTTAAGTCGAAAAAAATTTCAAAAAAAAAAAAGAACAAATATAAATAGAAGATTAAAAAACGACGGCTGAAGATAAGCTTAAATCCTAATAACATCTGCATCGCTCCAAGTTGAACTTAATCATGAATGTGAAACGTGAAAAAATGATAGAATCAATGGAAATACAACAAATATCTAAAGAACCTGCAGAAATGTCTGAATCTCACGGTTGCTATTCCCCAATTGAACAATTTTGTTGGCTAAACGGGTCACGTAACCAATATTGCCTATCCTGGGAGGTGACTTTCCCTCAGCACATATGGTTGGCTGCAAGACGCATTCAAAAGGTTGTTTCTAGAAAGTATAATCTTTTGGCCAACATATGAAGAGTGCAAGAAAATGAGACAAATACACTATGACAGAAACACGGAACATCTCACAGTTCCAACAAAAAGTATAAAGCAAATTACCTTGGTTGCATCAACAGTCAAAGTAGAATTCCTCTCTGATTCAAGAATTTTTCCGATGAGATTACACTCAGAAAGAAGATGTTCGACAAGCTGACAGTTCTTGCTCTCCAAGCAGGATATTACAATTTGTTCCACATGATGATGTAAAAAATTATTGTAAGGATACCTACAGACAAAATAAGTTACTAGTACTCGGGCTTCTGTATTGTAAAACAAGAAATAATATCAAAAGGTGACGGAACTTACTCAAAAAACAATTCAAGAATATGTTTCAACGCGCTCAGGCGAATCAGTTCCTTTTCTGCAACTTCACTACTAACTGCCACCAAGACTGAGATGAACTCTATAATCTGATAGGCCCATCATTATTCACAATCAGATTAGGGTTCCACACCAAAGAAATTATTTCAAATATGAGAAAGAGGGCAGTCAGGAGGAAGGGCAGAACAGAGTACATCTTAAAGAAAAGATGTATGTGGATAAGAATATTAGTTGTTGAAGCAATAATAAACTTTAATTGGTACCCAAATTTTCTAATTGAGATTTTTATCAAAAGATAGTAAATATATAAAAAAATTGCAGCAATCAATAATAAATTGCACCTCGGATAAATAAAGAAGTTTTGGTGCTTTTTGGAACATTCAGAAGATACCTTTAAACGATGCTTTCCTAAAGGAGGCTGCAATTTTCCGTATGAAGTTAGCAAGACACGATCCTCAGATGAAAGATCCAAAAGTTTGAGCAGTTCACCTGCCCAATAAACCAGTATTAGAGTCTTCTTGCCATTCAGCAAGATCTGATAATTACTAACATCACGATTACCATTCAAGGCATTTACACCCAATAAACCAGTTTTAGTATCTACATGCCCTGTAGGCTTGAGGTCCACACCTCACTTACCAAGTCAAGTAATCATCAGAAATGAATCTTTAGTGACCTTACCTAGGCTCTCCAGTATGCCTTCAACAGTCTCAGGATTAGCAGTGATTCCAGATCCTTGAGATGTTTGTCGGTTATACATGTAATACATCCCTGATGTCAACCTCCTTGGGTCTAACAAGGATATACAGACTGATAATGAGTTAACCAAAACGGATTTTGGTCTTGAGTCCTCCAGAGCATGACGAAACAATTTACCAATAAAACTGTTACAGCAGAAAGTTACCAGTAAATATAAGAAAAGAGAAAGAATGGAGGGACAAGAAGGAAGAATTTCAAAACAACCAATTGCGACCTCGGGCTGGAGGTTTTTGAAGCTAGCCCTGCGGAAGCATATCGGGCAATGGTGCAAAGAGTTTCTGCAGCATTAGCATGCACTCCAGGGCAGTCCTGCAAATATTATATGTTGCATCTACTTGATTTCACTTGAACAAAACAGATTAAAATGCATGTTCATCAACTTTCAAGGAGTAGAAGACAGAAAATTGACCATCCACTAATGGTTTAAAATTCATGTTTCAAACAGCATTGCCTTGCGCCTATATCCAGGGCAAAAACATGACCAGAAAACTCATTTTATAGCTCAGTTAATTCTAAAGAAGAACGATACACTTAAGTAAAAACAATGGTACATGGGAGTGATGAAAAATAGTCCTACACCAAATAAGGGTCGGTTGGCAAAAACCAAAAAGCTTTAATATACCATGTCCTACCCTCAAGTATCAGAACACGAAGGCCACGCCCAAACTAATATAAGCATGGAAGATAGAAGGCCTGATTAAACCTCCAGAGACTTGAAGGAGAAGAAAATAACGTCACTACTCAAAAGATCAGAGCTGCCTAGGTGAAACTTACAGATGAACTGAATTTATCCACAATCATCTCCAGCACATTCATATCTTCAAACCACTGCATAGAGTCCGCACAATTGGCATAAATATGTTCATCTACGCCGATCAGACGAATTAACACCTGTTCAACAAGTAATCTATTAGAATTTTTAATCAAAAATACCTTCTGAAGACAGCCAGGGGAGGGGGTTGTTGAACAACAAACCTCCATTATAGACGTAATTCCAATTAAGTCAACAAGTTTGGTGATGATATCCTGATGAGCCTGTACAAACATTTGATGAAAATTTAAGCTCCCAGATATTACGACTGATATAATTCAGTAGGATGTGGGCATTAAGATAAATAGCTAATGCAAATATGGAAGTTGCCTAAAGTTGTGTATATTTATACATACACATATATATAAGTATGTATGTGTGCATCAAAATCCTTTAAACACATCAATCAGAAAATAGGGATATCCGTGACATTGTAAAAAGCATGAATATACCTATGAAATTGGGAAATACTTTTAATTCCACCCATAGCAGCCTACTCGTTAATGAAACTCGTCACTTCATTTTTGACATCATTGCCATAAAAGTAACATATAAACCTGGCTTTCAACTAACCATACCAACCACAAGACTGGTTTTGGCATATGAATAATAAAATGTCTTAAAAACAACTAAAATGGCCAAATATTTGAAGCCTAAAAACACAAAACAATCCTAATATGCCAAATGCCCTCATACCCAAAAATTGAAGCAAATGAGCAAATGCATATGAGCCATCCAGCTGATGCAGCACAATAATGAGATGGCTCATTAGAATTATTCAAGACGAAAGTTATCCAGCACTTAGGTCACAGTAATTGAACTACTAGCTCGAAGAAAATTCATTACGAGAAATAAGTGCACTCACCTGTATGTAATTCATTAAAGGAGTTGTCTTCCGCAGCAAGAGGCATACAAAAACCTAGAACATAAGGATCAGACATCATTAATCCAAACATGGTCTTATTCCTTTTAGCCTCTTATTTTCTTTTATCTAAACTAAGCTGGGCAGAATGACTGAAAAAACCTTTAAAATCACTTATACCAATCAAAGCAGCAACGATCATACCTTGCTAAAATAACCAGCCAAAAGAGTACTATGGGGGCGCTCGGGATCCAAAAAAGAGAATAGCAGGTCCATCAACTGTGAACCAAAATTAGGAGGAAACTAATAAAGTTAAAAACTAAAACGTATGCAGCATAGTGTACAAAGTTCCCATAACTTAACACACCTCCTCATCCTCGACCAAAGTTTTGAGTATTATATCAACCTCACATGTGAAAATTTCACAAGCAACGAAAGGCAACCTACAAGAAGAAACATGGTGTTAAACATTGGTCTCGATTTCGAAATACATCATCAGTTTCCTTAAAAGGAACTTGTAAAGCAATGTCCTGGCAGCACATGCAGACACCTAGTACGAAATATTTACTGCTAATTCATACTTGAATGAAAATTGTTTACTGGCATCCTCCGGAGCTTCTTCCATTATGTATCGAATGAGTTGTTTAACTTGAGCTCTTTCTCTCAAGCTGCAAGACAGTTTGGTAAATAGTTATGTTGGGTGAGGTCAACCATTCTCAGTGTTCTGACAAAAAAACAGCTAGAGATCATGTTTACTTGTTATCACAGAAGAGGGAAAAGGTACCTGAACCTCGAATAAGAAAAAGACTGTTTGGACAATTTCAAAGAGAAATAAACAGTATATTCTCCTTCAGTTGGAGAGAACTAAATCTTGACGTTATTGAACAAGATGGCTAGCAAATAATGACAATGCAAGCCAATATTTTCATCTCAATCTTTATCGAAGCATGAATTATTTTTCGCTTATTATTCCGATAGATGCATAATTGCATATGCATATTCCATCAACTTGTAGAAAAAAACCTGTCTAAATTGGATTCTCGTGAAATATCCAGATCTTCATTTGTGTATAGAAAATTTGGAAGTTCATAATCCTTTTTGAGTGCCAACAGAATTTTAAATCAAACCCCAGTTTAAATTAGGCAATAAAATGACCAATTAGAACCTCTTGCAATGTAGAAGGAATTACTTCAATTATGAAAATTTATTCTGAGAACCACTTTCAGCAAGACGTAATTGTTAAAGGGATAACAAAGTTAACAGCATATAATGGAATATAAAAAGTATAAATTAATGTTTTATACTACAAACTTGTATGGAAAATAAAGTAGAAGCTTACAAGCTAACAAGACGTCCATTATGAGCTTTGCATTCTTGAATTATTTCGTCTTCATCCAGTAGCTCCTCCAGCGTAAAGCTTTCCTTATCTAAAATGGTTTCCACCTGCCATTGAAGTGATCAACAGATTTACTAATATTGTTTACTTAATTATACACATAAACAGTAGCCATACAATAACCATCGACACAAGCAGAAGCCTGATAAATATGTGAATAGAAAGCTAGAAAACTTTTTGAGGCTAGGCATAAGTCGACGTATTAATGAAGTCTAAAGATATGTGTAGATATATTGTTGATTAAGTTTCGTAAAACAAATATATGCACTGCATTAAATGCAACAGATATGACAGAGATACTTGATAAGAGCTCACTAGTTATGGACTACAAAAACAACGAAAAAAGGGAAAACAAATAATAATCAGACTAAAAACTAGAATATTTCTGGGGCAAAAGAATCTGGATTCAATGCAAACAAATAGAAAGAATCAACGAATTATGGGCACTTACTGCAGATGCAGCTGAGAAGCCAGACATATGCCAAAACATGGTGAATTTGGATAATTCAGCCGTAGAATCGAACTGAGATCCGTCAACTCAAAAAACCCTAGCTTCTAGACGCGGCGAACAACCTCCTCAAAAACTCCGCGCAAAAAACATTGAATCGATCAAGCATAGCCCTGAAATTCCAGCCAATGAACGACGAGTACTCCGAAATGCATCGGATTTTCACGACTAATTTCACTCACAAACAGAGGAAGATTAAAATTACAATACCTGCTGTAATCACGGGGAGGGAAAATCAAAAATGGCAAACAAAAAGAGTTGTAGAAATTAAGCAAATAAATACACACACACAAAATTTACCGAAACAACGAATCTCTCAACATTTTTATGTGCTTGTAAATATATATGTATACGTACGTATAACTCACGCATAGAAAAAGCCGGTGAGAAATATGAGTGGTGGCAACAGCTGTAGCGATGATGATGATGATGATGGTGATGTGGTTTGATTGTTTCACCGTCTGAAGGTGCGATTGTACGAAAGCCCACTTTGGGCATTTTTGTGGCCATCTTCAAAACACCATCAGATTCGCCATAATTCTATTTTTTTTTTTACCCCAAACATAAATATACCGTTATTTCCCCTTTCTTCTAAAAAAAATTAATTTAAGATTAATTTAATCTAATTAATCTCAATTTTATTATTAAATTTTCAATAATATAACAAATATATATATATAGAAGGCAAGGTAAGTCATAATTACATAATAATTGCGGATCAACCCCGTAAATTACTGTTCAATGTCAAACGTCAAATAAAATCCATTTTTTTGTTAATCATGACTAATTAATCATGACTAATTTTCCCAGTTAAACGAAGCCTTATAGGATTATCAGATTTAACATCGATTTCATTTATCTTCATTTGAGTTGTGAAAATAAAATATGGATAAGTAATTACCCTGTGTAGTTTTTCACTAAATAGAAATCGAATGATGTACTTTAATAATTTTCCAATTTTGCCCTTATTAATTTGAACAAACGAAAAAGGAGTTTTAGCTCGTAAATCGCCTTTGACTTATATGCAATTTAGCTCATTATCTACCAAAAAATGTCTAAAATGCCATTCCATTAAGAATTACAACTACACTTCATTTTCATTTGAAAAAACGCCGCTAGTAGTAGGTGAAATGATACTTGAATCAGATTGGTTATTTATTTATTTATAAGATCCATATATATTTATAAATTATTGGCATGCCAACATCTACATATAAAGATTCAAAATTTCTTTCATTTTAAATCGAATTAGCAAATTACAAAACATAATCACCAAACCACAAAATTCAATACCAGAAAGGAAACAAACTGCCACTAAAAAGAATAATGATGCTACAATATTGACTTACAATAACCAAAACTGCAATAAAGAGGGCAAAGTTCTATTAAGAGAAGAGAAACTATTGTCTTAAGCATAAGAATTTCTGTAACGCCGGTAAACTGCTTCAAAGCCGGTAACCATTTCGAAACTCGAACTCATATACGTGTTTGGATAATTACTTCGTACACTTAGGCAACAAAATTTTGGGAGGCAACATCAGAGAAACTTGACTTTTTGTCAGATAGATTAATAGGAGTTTGCTCCTTTTCTCTGAAATGCCACTTTTCTTTTACAATCCTCTGCAATTGTTGAGGACGAATAATCGGAACAAGAGTGTTATGACAGGTTGAGTGGGTGTAGTGCAACTCCGTTTTTAGCAGCAGCAACTCGGCCCCACCTTCCTAACCGGTGTTCCTGTACAAAAAGATACCCCATTGTTAGATTGAAATGCCATTTCTGATATAACAATAAACGAGAATCAAATTCGTGTGAGAATTACTTATGAAACAATCTTGGCTTTGTGGACATATAAATCTAGATAGGTGTGTGTAAATCAGAATATACAGTTGTCTGAAAACAATAAATATTTCAAACGATATCCATACGTTACAACTCACAACCAATAGCAGTGAGCCTTCTGTTTCTTATGCTAGCCTTGGCTGAAATCACACCCAACTAATATTTACGAACAGGATTTCTTCATATTCAGTCGAGCACACTTCTCTTATTTATTTGATCTTGAAGAAATCCTTCGATCAAGTTCCCCCAAAAACAATTGAAACCATATTCGCAAAACAAGACGATGCTTCTGTAATGATGGCGAGGGCTATGTTCAACTAAGACAGTCACTTACATGTAACTCAAACATAAAATTCACTAATTCGCCCGACTATCGTTTAACAAAGAAATGAACACTATTTCTATTTCCAGACCTTTAAATAGATTAGAAAAAGAAAAAGAAAAAAAAGGGTTCACCTGTCCAACCCCAGCAATCAAGAACTTCCCAGATTTTGCAATGGCCAGCGAATTTACGAATCCAACCTGCACCGATTACAACAATGTATAAGCCCATAGAGCAGCATAAACACATGTAGAAAGAATATCATATAGCTATTCGAAAACTCTAGTCCCTAAGTAAGAGTTCGAACATTCATAGACGATAGGAAGATCGAACAACAGAAGGCTTACCACTGGGAGCTCAAATAAAGGACGAACGCCTTTGGATTCATTTTCAATTGCCCAAAGACGCACGGAACCATTTCCAGCTCCTGAAGCAGCAAGATCACTTCCTCTACACATAGCAACTGAGTTGACCCACGAAAGAGCTGTTGAACCAAGCCTAGACGAATCTTGGGCATCATTTTCTGCATACGATAAGTACAAAAGTGATGAACTGCATCTAAGAAAGGGTAATAATCTAAAAGGTAATCTTGAGAATACTGATTACCTTTGTGACCATTCGATAGTCCTTCATGATTAATCTTTTCGATCTTGTCCTCACTAAACGAGGCATGTGCATTTTTTACAATATGGACAGGCTTCTTGCGTAGTAAATTCCAGAGCTCGATGCTTCCATCATCAGAACCAGACAAGAACTCGTCGTTACTGATAAAGCAACAAGATTCCAGTGAAGATGCAGGTGCTCGAAATACTAATTGGGATTCCTCTGGAACCTATATGCCATATGTAATAAGATGGATTATCAAATATTAGCAGGATATGAAAAAATCAATCGAACACAACCACCTAGCCAAGATGGAGAGCAAATAAATGAAATTCGTGAAGATACAATGGAGAAACGAAAAAATCATCTTACGAAGTACCGAAATGAAAGCCATAACTTTAAGTTTGAAAGCTCAGAACCAACATATTTGGTACCAAATCCTACTCTCTTACATCACAGTCTGTTTGATTTGTGCCATGTTTGTTTTGGTTATGTTCAATGCAGCAAATAATGACAGAAAATAGATCAAGCAATGGCGACATTAAGTCAACCTGATTCCACTCGTTGAAAAAAAAAGGAGGGGAAAGGTTTTATTACCTTCCATAAATGCATGGTACGGTCACGACCAACAGTCAAAACGCGTTCTTTTCTCAAGCTGTCAATGGTTAACACTTCACTCTGGTGACCGAATAATGTGCTTATATAAGTTCTATCATCTGCATTCCAAATCTTGACAGAACGGTCAAACGAACCAGAGAATAGTTCTGCAGTCCCTTGCCTAAATGTTAAGCATGAGACAGGTCCTTTATGTCCCGGAAAGGCCTGCAGTTAAGGTACATTGCAAATTCAGCATACCAAAATAAGGTAAAAGCTTAACCGCAAGACTTTTCACGTAAAATAACAGAATAAAGCATTTATCAAACCTACAATACTCAAGAACCCCTAACAAGACTCGAGATTTGGCCTTTTCGAAAAACATTATATGTAACAATAACTGGATTATTAGAATTGAACAAACCCGAATATGCTCGCGTGTCCGAACGTCCCAAAGATGAACATGGCGATCTAGGCCTCCACTAGCCAAATATCTACCGTCAGAGCTAACAGCCAATGCAAGAACATGTTTACTGTGCTTAGTCGCTTTACCCAGAGGGTCCTTCACACCATGAGACTTCAAAACCTCGTCGGACGGCCAATTATACTTTTCCTTCTTCCCACTTTCAATATCCCAATGCAGTATGGCACCGTCCTTAGAAGCTGAAAATCCTCTGGACTCGTCATCAGATAGAGCCACACAAGTGACGGTTTGCCTGTGTTTTACTATAACTCGAAATCCTTCATCTGTTTCTGGCTTTTGAACCCTAGAAATAATTTATAAATTGAAAACAAGCTAATGAGGTAAGAAATTATGCAGTTTTTCAAATTAACCCTAGAAACAACTTCTGGCATAAGAAAATGTTATGACTAATGGCATGCTTCAAAGATGGAACATTTAACTTCAATACAACAAAATTGAGCCAACAAATTACCCAATTGAAAGAAGAAGTAAAATAATCAAACCTAGATGCAATGGCTCTACGGAGACGGCCGCTATCTTCGAGCTGGTTTTGCTGTAAATTCTTTGCAATAAGTGAATCTCTCTCCCCTTCTCTCTGCCTCCGCCGCTCTTCATCATCCTCTTCCATTTCATCATCTTCTTCTTCTTTCTCTCTCTCCTTTTCCCTAAGCCTCTTCAGCAACGCCTCAGCGTGTCGCTTCTTCGTCTCCGCCGGCGTCTCCTCTATCTCCTCCTCCTTCTCCTCCTCCACTCTCTCACCTTCTGATCCGAACTCTCTTTCATCGTCATCGCTGCTCACAATAATTTCGTCGCCGTTGAACTTACGACGCCGTTTCTGCTCGGCCCCATCGAAGAACGACGAATCGTGGTCGTTGGAGGAAAACTTCTTCTTGCTATTTCGCTTAGGTTCCTGAGCAGATGGCCTCTTCTTATTTAGGTTCCTTCCTTTCATGATTCAGCCCTAGTTTTCCGACGGAATCACCGGTGCAGCAGACGCTGACTGCCGGAATGTGGTCGGAAAGCGGTGGTGGAAAACGAGAATGGCAACTTTGAGCGGTGGTTCAGAGGTTTAAGAGTAGGGTTTTGGGTTGCGAGTATGAAACGATTTTATTAATTGGGCCCGAATAATAATATTACTGTAAGGCCCGATTAATTTTCGCTTTTGAAGCCCAAAAGAAAAGGAAAGATTGGGCCTTTTTTATAATTTCAACTGTTTTAATTTCTGTATCATCATCAATTCATCATCATCACAAAGAAGGAAAACCAGTTGTAATTCTGCCCAATTCCAAATTCCGATCGACTGATTGATTGTTTGTCTACTATAACGCACGCCAGAGACGCTTTGATTGTCGTACGAAATGCTCGGCGGGTTGTACGGCGACCTTCCGCCACCGTCCTCCACCGCGGATGACAGCTCCGCTACTACATCCGCCTCCAATGTCTGGTCGAGCAGCGCCAAGATGGCGCCACCAACTCTCCGCAAACCATTCCCCCCTCCCCAAACCATCCTTCGTCCTCAACACGCGAAGCCCAAACCCGCTGTGATTAAACATACCGCTCAATCCACCGCCGATGAGAACAGAAACCCTAATCCGAGCACGACGTCGTTTCACCCTGCCCTAGTCGGTGTCACCAGCTCCGTCGTCGAAGAATACGACCCCGCCAGACCAAACGACTACGAGGAATACCGCCGCGAGCGGAAGAGAAAGCAAGCGGAGGCGGAGGTGAGGAAGGAATTGGAGGAGAGAGAAAGGAGAGAGAGGGAAAGGGATGAGAGAGAGAGGAGGGAGAGAGATCGGGATAGGGAGAAGGAATTGAGTATCTCCGGCGAGGAAGCTTGGCGGCGAAGAGCCGCCATGAGTGGTGGTGGTGGTGGTGTGCCGAGATCGCCTTCTCCACCGCCAGCTGGCAATGGAGGAGGAGGAGAAGGGTTTAGCATCGGGAAATCGGAGAGCGGTGGGTTAGGGTTAGGTGCCGAAGGTAAGATGACAAAGGCACAGAGAATGATGGCTAATATGGGATGGAAGGAAGGACGTGGTCTAGGAAGGCTGGAGCAGGGGATTACAACTCCATTAGTGGCGAAGAAGACGGATAAGAGAGCTGGGGTGATCGTCAACGCCAGTGACTCCAGCAAGAAGGTTAAAAGCGTCAATTTCAACGGCACACCCACAAGAGTTGTGCTTCTCAGGAACATGGTATATACTCGTTATTGCATTTTGCATTTTACATTTCGATTATGCTTTTGCCGGATTGATTGGTTTGTGATTTCGTGGATTAGGGTAATATAGTACACAAAGAAAGAAATGAATTACAATATTTATAGGCGGTGGGATTTTGGTATTATAATCGTCTCTTGAAAAAAAAATCCGGGATTTTCTCCGGGTGGGAGTCTGTTCGTGTCTCCGTTTTCTTGAATGTTATCACGGACACTAATTAGGGAATGATTTTGGTAATTGCAAGTTCTGATTGGATACTTTGGAGCTTAGTTGAGTAATAATAGAAGAAAGGATTGTACTCCGTTGGCACTAACTTACTGACAGATAAGATTAGCCCTCGATTTTTGTAAATCTACACACGTGCCCTAAGTAACAAAGAACAGTTGATTGTCGAGGAAAGATGCAAAACCAGTATATTATGTATCAGTTTCTTTTGTTTGATCACGTCGTGCAAACATATTCTTACATGTCGATTCCATTGATACTTTTTTCATTTTCAAAGTTTTCGATCCATCAGATTTAAGCTGCACTTCTACATAGCCTCCTCTTGCTTTTCGTTTTCCCTTTTGGTTGACCTGTTACTGAATTGCATTTAAGCATTTTTCTGAAGCAACCTCATTCTGCATGTATGGTACAAAATATTCTTCTTTTGTTACAATTTATCCATAAATGGCCGTTGATTACGTGATCTTTTACTCGTTTCTTGATATTTAAATGGTCTTAGTATTTTGAAGTTTATCTAAAACTCTTGTGGTCTGTGTGTTTCTGTTTCTTTAAGGTTGGTCCAGGTGAGGTGGACGATGATTTAGAAGGTGAGGTGGCAGAGGAGTGTACTAAATTTGGTAAAGTGACCCGTGTCCTGATATTTGAGATTACAGAGGCAAACTTCCCACACGAAGAAGCTGTAAGAATTTTTATTCAGTTTGAGAAATCAGAGCAAGCCACAAAAGCACTCATAGAACTCGAGGGTCGATTCTTTGGAGGTAGGGTTGTTCATGCTTGTTTTTATGACGAGGAAAAGTTCAACAACAACGAGTTAGCTCCCATGCCAGGAGAAATTCCTGGGTTTTTTTGATCGTTTGATAGTGTGCACTACAAAATCGAAATGCTGGTTTAGTTTGTCAAAAAGACTTTGTTACCCTTTCACCATGGTTGGTTTGTAAGTTGTAACATTTGGTTGATTTTCAAGTTTTATGTTCAGAGTTCAGACTCATTTTCATATGATAGTCATTTAGCAGTTGAATTCATGAAGTTTTGGAAATTACAAACTTTGCCATTAAGTTTTCAAACTTAACATCAAATGCCTTGTAATCTCTAAAGTTGCGAAATGGACCTCAAATAGTCCAAAAGATTCCAAATAAGTCCTATAAGATTAAAAAGAACATAAAAGGAGGTTTGTCCCTCTCCAATTGTTGCAAAAATAGGCAATATTTATTCAGAACGCTTCGAGACTGGTTCTCTTGTCAACTAAGAAAAAAAAAAAAGACGATCGTCGAGCACATTTCATTTCATTATGACATGATCACTGATAAAACCCGACATCTTTATGTAGATGCATGAAGTACAAACTACTATGGTTATTATGATCAACATACGACAAATTCGAGCATAATCAAGAACTATTATAATTGCTCTCGACCAATCTTCGCTACTTAGAAACAAAAGAGAGTGAAGGACTTTTGATACACCAAGTCCAATAGCATTCGAAATGATCTAGCCCAAAATTGACCAATTCAAGTTGAGGCCTTGAAAACATAAGAAATTATAGCATGTAACTTAGTTTATACTACAAAATTTATAAGTTTGAAGTATATACAATATCATTTTACCTAAATCGATGAATAACAAATATCATTTTCGAAGCACTTGAGATTTTTATAAAATGAAATATAATACTACATATCAAGTTATTTCAACAAGCTGGAATAGCTCAGTTGGTTAGAGCGTGTGGCTGTTAACCACAAGGTCGGAGGTTCGACCCCTCCTTCTAGCGGATTTTATTTTGTTTTTTACCTTTTTAATTTGTAATTTTTATTTTTTTGAATTTATAATTTTTATTTTTACCTTTTAATATTATTTCTACCTTTTTAATTTGTAATTTTTTTTTACCTTTTTATATTATTTTCTTTTTGAATTTATAATTTTTATTTTTACCTTTTAATATTATTTCTACCTTTTTAATTTGTAATTTTTTTTTTTAATTTATAATTTATTTTTTTTACCCTTTTATATTATTTTCTCAGCAGACTATTTTTTATTTTGTTTTCTACCTTTTTTATTTGTAATTTTTTTATTTGTTTTTGAATTTATAATTTTTTTTTTTACCTTTTTATATTATTTCTACCTTTTTAATTTGTAATTATTTTTTTTACCTTTTTATATTATTTTCTGAACAGACTATTTCAATTTTAAATTTGAAAATTTATGCGCTGCAACTTATTACGATCAGACATTCGGAATTCCTTTTCCGGCGCCGGCAATCCCGTCGCCGCTGCTCAGACCGACATCCTTGTTCCTGCACATAAACATATAGTCAACTGATAAATAATGTCGATGGGCGGCGACGCTACTTGGGTGGCAAAGAAGCCACTGAGAAGAGTGGGAGGAATGTCCGATGCTCTCTCCATCGCCGCCGATCTCGTCTTTTCCGCCGCCCCTCCTCCCCAGGTATCCAATTCCACCACCTCCTGTCCCAATTGACACACACACACACACGTAGTGAGCCTAATTTTTTTAGTTTACCTTCTTATTTTGTTGTTCGATTAGGAAGATATCCAGAATTTAACCTCCGGTTGTAGTGAAAAGGGGGACGATTTAATAAGAATATTGAGAGAATTGACTTCTGTACAAAGAAGAATCGCGGATCTGCAAGTGGAACTTCAAGGCAGAAAGGTTGGGCATTCTGAAATTTTCTTCTTCTGTTGATGAATAAATAATGTGCTAGTATTTAATTTGGTAGTTCTGAAACTGTATATATCCTAATTCAGTTAGCTCCATAGTTCTATCAGTAAGCTCATATTAACTATTTGTCGAACTTTTAGGAAGATAAGAATGTTGCTCACTTAACACACGTGAGTGAAATGGAGAAGAAGATTGATACTCTATCTCGGATCACAGCTATACTGAAAGATGTCATTCAGAATAAGGTAATTCAGCAACTTGAAACTGCTGCCAGTGCCGAATTGTTGCTTGTTTTTCGCTTGATGGTTTGGGATTTAGGTTAACAAATTTTAGTCTGTTTTTCAATTTTATTCACCTTTTTCTTTTACATGTCGATTTCCCTCGTCTTGCCTACTTTTGATTTTAACGAGTATTGAGTCCGTGACTTCATATATGGTTATGATCAGATGAACCCTAGGCAGTTGGGCTAGGTATTGAAGATTCTTGGTAGAATTATAGGGAGGATTTTATTTATGAACATGATGCCATACTTCATATTCTTTCTGCAATTTTCAGCATGTTATGAGTCATAATAGCGTCCTCCATAGTGTTCCCGTTCAAGTTGTAGGTACGAATGATGCCATAAATCGGTGATATCTTCCACGAATAAAGTAAAGGTTTACGATTTTCATTTCATTTAGGAATGGTAAAATATTTTCTCCATAAGATGTGTTGTTAGTTGTTACGACTCTAGGATATTGCGATCTTCTTTCTTGCCGTTATGATTAAGAATTCTCTGCCGATTATTCGTCCACAGTGTATGTTCGTTCATCTCTATGTATAAGCCATTTACATTTGTACTTGCCATTTAGGATCGGATTATTGCTCGGCTCCAACAACCTTACTCGTTGGATTGCATCCCTGTGGAAGCTGAGTACCAGGTATTTTTGTTCAATGAGATAACTCCAATTCATTTCTACTGATAAAAACGTTATGTACTTTCTCTTGTATTCCCTCTTCTCGTGTAAAAATGTGAACCGAAAGTTGCATCAAATTTGGTTAACGGGTTTAAAATAACTGCATCTCTGTTACTGAAAATGACCGAAGAGATCCGTAATGCTTGTTTTTGTGTCCCCTGTTTTCATACAGAAACAATTTTCAGAATTGCTAATGAAGGCAGCAAGTGATTATGGAGCATTGACTGCTTCTGTCGGTGATTTTCAATGGAGCCAAAACTTTAAAAAACCACCTACAGTATGGGGGGTAAGTTAACTATCTATCTTATGCTCTTTTTTACGAGTTTTAGACTACTTATAACACATTCCAATGTAAATAAATACTTCACTTACAACTACGTGTTTGAGTAAATGTGTAATTTCCTTCAATCCGATTGCTTAAAAGAATCGGTTACCATGTTTTTTTTTTAAATTGATTTTGATTGTGTTATATGATTTAGGAAATGCTCCGTCCAATTCCAGTAGCTTTGGCATCTTGCACTCGGTTCATTGAAGCAATGACTGCAATGAGAGAGTCGTTTAACAAGCTTCAAACACTGAGAGTTGGTCATTTGTCGGAAAGAGTAACGGGAGAATCTGACTGTGTAACTCCTCCATGTTGGACAAATGAGTCGAGCTTTGACGATCTAGCCCTTAGAAGGCAAGTCGTTGATGTCGGCTACAAGAATTACGACAGGAGATTGTCTTGGCCTCCATCTGTCAAAAACATTGGGAACTGACATTAAAACAAAATTACCATGTCTTGTTTAGCATGTTAGTTTTCTTTCTTGTATAGTGTAACAATGACATAAATATTTAATGCAACTTCCTATTATGTATCACAATTTTTTCCATCCGATCTCCAAATGACTTAATTCAAGTTGCACTCGAAAGCTAAATCGATGGAATACAACCCAAGTTTGTCAATCGACTCTTTAGCTCGTCTCACGAGCTATCCAACTCGACTGATTGTTAAATGCCACCAAATAAAAGTTTTTTTTTAAATGCCACCATATAATTTTAGAGTAAATTACAGTCCACCTTGAGGTAATGTCAAATTACGAAGAAAAAAAACTCATGTTTGGGTAATTACAACCAGTCCCTCAACTATGAATCTTCTTATACGTCTACCATTGCGATGTAAAATCTAGTGGAATTACCTGTGTAATTTACCCTTTTATTTTTAATAAACCCCACCAAAGAAAAAAGAAAATCATTGAAGTCCACCTCAATAAATAGAAAGCCTCCTGGAACAAGAAACCTCAGAAAAGAGAAGAACAGTAAGTCAAAAAGAATGATATATATATATATATATACTACATTAATAGTATCATGTAATAATAGTGCTACGCCGCCTATCTGTATAGATTTTCTCTTTCCTTGTCTGTACTATTTATTGCCACCACAGCTCAACAAATCAAATCCTAAATGGATCTTTCCATTATTGCTTTCAAATACCCCAAAGATTCTCTAAACCTTACTTTACTTGCATTTAAATACAAATCCATTAGAATAATATACAATAATAAAAAAAGAGCACGCTTGTCTGAACCATGTTTAAAAAGCTCAATTTTGTTGCCTGCAGACCAAAGGCTTACATTATTACAAGTAAAAAATAAATCGATTTTAAATAGTCCATTGAATGCTCGTTTGAAATCGATTTATTAACATAACGAACGAGGATTTTGAAAAACACACATTCGTTACGTGCCAATTCAACCCACCAAATAAAAACAAGAGAATATTTATCGAAACGAAAGAGTATAAATACTGAGTCGGATTATCGAAACACAAAATGACATTACGATACACAAACATAGTATGCATCGAATAGTTTTAAGTTTACAAAAGTTTAGTCAGCATCTGCATGCAGCTAGTGCAAAAGTATATTACACGATTTTCGTCTAGTTAATTAAATTTGTCACACAAAAGACCAGTTCATAAACATGAAAGCCAAACAGTGATTAGAGTCGTCGTCATTTAGAACCTTCCACACAACAGCTTGTTCGTACGACACCGATCGCCCCATGCTGGAATTGCACACTCCTCCCGGCAGATAAGCAAAACCCTAATCAAAAAATGAAAATATAGTTGAACGAAAAAAAAATTATATCCATGGATATTAATTAGTTAATTAATTAATTACCTGCTGCATGATCTTGGAGAATTCCGCGAGGAGGATTTTCCGACCGGATTCATCTAGAATCTTCTCGAGCATAATATCTTGAAGTGCCACGAGGGTTGTCTCCATCATGTCTAGCCCAGCTTGGTTCGCAAATGTAAACGCGGCCGATGCCTATCGAATAGAATCTTTTTAAGAATATTCCGGAACAATAAGTAACAAATATAAGAAAGAAATTGACAATTAAAATGACGACTAACATTCGTCTTAACCGAACAGCACACAATAGCATCACTGTGGTGCCAAAGCTGCTTCAGTACAGCATCGCTAGCTTGCGTATCGGCCTCAAAGAGCTCTCTCCCAGTGTACACCCTAAACAAGAACAATCGTATTTAAAAAAATATATATTTAATAATAAATAAATAAATAAAAACTATTATTTACATATACCTATAGCTTCGGCAAATCCAACGAGCTAATGTGAGAGCCTCGGGCGAATGTGGAGAAGGCTTAGGAACAATACGACCGCCAAGTGGAGATGGTGAAATTGCCAATGCTACCCTTTGAACTGAAGCAACTATACTACGTACGTATTGGCGGGCCATAGCAGCTACACTGTCTTGATAGTGACTTTCGAAAGTGAACTGAAACGCAATCGACAAAACCGATCGAACATTCTGATTGGTCGAATCAATTCCGCCAGCTGGACGGCCAACGTCGAGCGTGGAAGCCAAGTCCAATGTCTGAGTGGGCCCAGGCCCGTTCTGCACCACAAAATGTAGGCCCGGCCCATTAATAACTTAAAACAAAATTTTTAATTTTTAATTGATTTAATATTGTTTGTTATTAATTAATTGACTCAACTGATTTGGGATCTAAAGAGATAATACGAAAACCGGAAGGTAGCATTGGAGCATCGTCACCGAATGATTCATCTATTGGTGCGAAAATTAGCTGCGCACATTCACCGGTATTTGCTTCGTCTATCCCACTGCATAACTGCAGGGTTTTTTTACATTAAAGAAAATCAAAATTAAATCATAGCATAGACAAAAAAGAATTATTTAAAATTCAAATGATTAATGAGCAAAACCTGTAATAAGTACATATCCCTAGACAAAGCTATGTCTTCGGGTGAGAATGCATGACCCTCCAAACGAACCACCTCCAAGACCTAAATTTTAACACAAAATATTTATTACAAATCTTGTATCCATGCGTATTTTGCGGATGTCCACGTGTATGTATATGTATATATACTGACCTCTTCATGTTCAACAGTATGTGCGAGAGGCAAAATAACTTGACTGGTTGGAAAACCACCAGGCTTTGCAAAAGGGATTGCATAAGGACTGGATTTAAGAGAAGCAGCTGAGTAAAAATCGACCGCATAATCGGCCCATTCTGAACGATGTTCCCTTAAGAAACGAACAAGCAGAGCTGGAGGTACATTCTGCATCGTATATGTATTAAAAAAAGAATAACCCAAAAAAAAAATCAATACGAAGAAAACAAAAGCTGAAGTTAGTGAAATGATTAAATGAAAAAAAAACCTGGAGAAGCATTGATGCTCGTGCAGAAAGGACCCCACCGAAAGTTGGGAGCATGGACAGAGTGTTAGAGTGAGAAGCAAGAAATTTGCTCGGTGATAAATTAATTGCAATGGTTACATCTTCTGCCCCATCACTACTAATTATGGACCAACCATCATCAACAATGCCATTGACCGCATCGTTGAAACCCCTAAAAAGTCAACCATCAACAAACGAGAAAATTAAAAAATATATAAATAAATAACAGCAATATATGTATATTCTGGTACAGATGCTAAAGTTTTATTACCTGCACAATCTTTGACTTAATGACCTTAGAACAGCCGGTTGGCGGCCCCCACTAATTTGGACCTCTTCGTTTGTTTCTTGAGCAATTTGTCTAATGTGACGCAAGGCCTGAATGTGACATACAAATCATGTCTTAAAAAACGAAGATTTTTTACATCCAAATTGAAGACATTAACAAAGTGATTTTCTTCTTCAGAAAACGAATGGGAAATTTTTCAAAATCGGGCCAATCATAGACATAACAGAGCAAGGAGGAAATTTCTTACAGCCAAAGTCATCTTTTGCGCAAGGATTTTGGACGATTCGTAAAGTGGCCTTAGAACTTCGGGAACACTTAGTGCCTGATGGAAGTTTAAAGTGAAATTAGTGAAAAAAGAAAGGCATGGCTAATGATAGAGGTTTGCAAAACGTATATTTAGACGATTTCTTACATCTAAGTCAATGTGATCGACAATGTGGATAATCGAACCGCCACCCTCACACGGGCGAATTAGGCAACCACTCGGTAGCATTTCGGCTCTCACAAAGCAAGTAGCGTGCGGGCCCATTTGACCGCCGTAAGAAGATGTTAATGACCTCTCACAAATCTCCATATTTATAATAGTATCCAGTGTTAGTAGAATATGATGCATCGTGTTTTTAGCCGAAAATAAAAGAATCAAGACGAGATTAGAGAAAAGTGAATAGGATTAGCTAACCACAAGACTGCCATCTTCCAAACTGGTGGTATATCTCAGAGTCCAAAAGTCACGGCCCAATGCCAAAGTTGTCGGTGCATATGTCTTGATAAATAAATTAATGTTGAAAATCAGTTGCATATTTAATTAAGATAAGAATTAACATATATAATTTATTATTAAAAGAAAAATGGAAATGTACCTGCATGTATAAGAGCTCTATCGTACCCCCATTTCTTGTGGGGATTATGCTTGCTACATCAAGGCAACGACAGTCACGATACCAAGATAGACGATCTTTGAAAATTTCAGCAACCTGCAAAAATTAAAATACAGGTAGTTTCAAATAAAATTAAAAAAAAAACTCGATTTCCATCACGAAGATAATTAACAAATATACAAAAGTGTGAATTAAATTAAAAATAATTACCTTTGTGGGTTCAAGACTCACGAGGCTGCAGGCTCGTGCTGCTATCCCACTACAATTGCGGGAAACGGCAACGATGCCAATAGAATCCGGACCAGGCTTAACACATAAAGAAGATAAATTATGATTAAAATAAACAATAAAGAAATAAAAAATAATAAAATGAGAGAGAGATCAACCTTCATCCCAATCAGCTGCACCCAATCGACAGCAGTTCCAGTAGCCTTTCCAAGGAACTCTGCGAGGGTCTCCTCTGCTATTGCAAGAAGACTACAACACCACCAAAATATGCAAAGGAAGAGAAATTAACTTAAGAAACCAAATCGATTTTAGCATCTCAATTAGCAGTCTAATTAGTAATATATATTATATTAAAAGGAGTCAAAATGGAAAGTGAATTAAGAGAAAATTACCCAGCTGGGCTATTAGCATCCCTTTGCGGACGCTGAGGTGTTGGGTTATTTTGTTCTTTACGACCACTCATAATCGCAGAATCACAGCTCGTATCTGTGGCTGTTGTGTTTACCTGTCATTATAATAAAATTTAACACAAAAATTAAAACTGTACTTGGTTATTAACAGGGAAAAGCGAGAAATAAATCAAAACTTACAGTTTGCAGATGCTGACGCATGGAACCGTTCTTATGAACCAAGTGAGTGACCTGATTTTGGAGGCGGCCATTCTCTTCCATTAACAGCTTGTTCATAGCAGTGAGCTTCCGGTTAACAGTTTGGAGATGAGAAGCTTCTTTCCTCTGTTTTTCTCGACACCTAAAGAGAGAAAATCAAATTGAATTCCCAGTACATAGCAAATGTTAACTTACCTACATTTCGTTTAATTTTATGGATATTTGCATGACCAAACACTATTTTGTTGTAGTGCTCCACATGTCCTAAAACACTTAAATGATAACAAAGTTGCAATGAAAAAGATCATCGGATAAATATAGTATGCCATAGACAACGGCAGCCCATTTAGACACAAGTACTCTTTTGTTCAGAATAACAACAAAAGATCTATAGCTACTTGAGATGGGTGTATTCGGACATACAACATTTTCAAGAAGTTACATGGTTAGCAGAAGCAAATGTATATCATTTGGCAGCTGCTGTAATAACTATCTATCAAGATCTACAGGTAAGGAGATAGGATGAACAACAATTACAACTGTCAATACCTAGAATACTTGAAAATTACAAAGAAAAATATTTCTCCAAAAAAAAGAACCCATATTCACTAAAATCTTACCAAGCAAAAAACGAGGAAAGAAAAAAAGAACATTGATTCTTGAAAAAAAAAACCTAAAGAACTCATTTTTAAAGGTGCAAAACTATTACCAAGCAAACATCATAAAATTTAAACGTGGAAAAAAAAAAAAAAAAAAAAAGAACATTGATTCTTGAAAAATAAACTAAAGAAATCACTTTTAAAGGTGCCCAAAACCGGAAAAAAAAAAACATATGTACCTGCGATTCTGAAACCAGACTTTGATTTGTTTAGGCTCAATGTTGGAAAGAATGGGGCACTCACGAATGAGCTGTTGCCTCTTGGAAGAAGTGGGTTTTGGGCATTCTGAGTAAACCCTCTCCAAAGCATCCACTTGCTCGGGCGTGTATCTCACGTACTTGCCAGCGTCAATTTGCTGCTGCTGCTGCTGCTTTTGCATAGAAAGTGCCATTTTTTAACAATAGCCCAGAAAAAAAATTAAAGTGTGGAATTGTTAAACAGAGCTTGTTTTTTTGTTCCGATTAGTAAATGCATGAAAAAAGGCAGGCTCTCTTCTTACAGAGAACCTCCTCTCTCACTCATCAAGATTGAATTTTTATTTTCTTTTTGCTGTTCTTTTCTGGGAAAAGGGTTTAGTTTCTCTTCTTCTACCGCAAAGGGGATGATGATGATGATATGTTGTAGAGAGAGATTTTAGAGAGAGAAAGAGAGAGGGGTGAAAACTGAAAAGAGATTATTGAAATCGAGGTTCCCTGGTCTTTATCTAAGACGCCAATCTCGAGAATATCAGAGAAAGTGAAATGTAGAGAGAGAAAATGGGATATCCAGAGAGAGAGAGAGAACAACAGCAACCCATAAATGAATTAAAATAAAATAATAATATAATATAAAAAATAAATACAAAAGAAAAGAAAATTAAAAAAAAAAAAAAAAAAAGAGGCGCGTGATCACACGCTCCCTTACAACACGTGAGTTGGAAGGGGGCAGCTCAATGTAAACTCACCCCCTTTTCAATACCCACCCCCATTACCCACCTACATTGGAGGTGGTTCCCCCTACCCACCCCCCATCTCCAACCCACCCCAGACCCACCCCCACTGGAGGTGGTTCCAACCCCATCTCCATGGTCTAACAAAACCAAAAAGAACCCCCCCCCCAGCTTTTTTTGAATTTCTATTAATTCAAAACAATTACTATTATTTTATTTTATTATTAATTTATTTATATATAAAAAAAATATGGATTGGAAAGTAACTGACATAAGCATTAATGAGAAATGAGGAAAGAGAAAAGTTTTTATAGTGTAAAAGAGAGTTGGTAATAAAGATTCACAAAACAGTGAAAAGATTGAAGAGAGTAAATGGGAGGCAGAGGTGCTGCCTTTATTTGTTGCAGACTTACCAGATTTCATTTTTAGGCTTATAGGGTCCAACTTCTACCTATTAATTATTTTTTTTTATTTTTTTTTGCTTTTTTTTCTTCTCTCTTTTAATTGATTAATTAATAAATTAATAATAATAATTAAAATTAATGAATGGGGGTGAGAATCTGAGCGTTGACCAAGACCCTGAAATTGGAAATCTTGAATTGACCACTGTCCAATGGGTATAAAAAATGGGCTGGATTTAAATGTGGGCCCATATTCTGTACTTTAAAATAACTATTGGGCCTTTAAGCTGAAACATCACAGTAAACACTGCTCTGAAATCTGATCTTCTGTTCAAATAATAATTACTATTTATTAGACTAATAGGATCATCATTACATTAATTAATTTACTATTTTTAATTAATCTTTTCTTGTATTTCATTTTTAGGCATAAATAACCATTCACTTATTCCAAAATTAATAACAATTTCGTTAAAAATAAATCATAAAATTAAAATTTTGAATGACAAATCTTATTCCAAAATCAGAATTTTCGGATCGAATTGGCGAATATTGGTAATTTTATTTTTTTACTCATCTGTAATATAAAATGCATAGCAATATTGATAATAAAAGTGTGATTTTTTGGGATTTTTTTAAAACTTAAATCGGATCAAAAATCGAAACTTTGTATATATATAATTCAATTCTGATTGAAAAAAATAAAATTACAAAAATAAGAAATCGAAATTTTTGGTATTTCAAAAGAAAAACATTGTTATGAAATCGTAAAATCGAGACATGGTTCTCCTGTTCTCCACGACAAGTGATAACAATAATAGTTGAGGCTATTTGCAAGCTATTATACGAGAGTGTAGGTTTACACAGTGCACCTATATGGTTGGCTGCGGGTTCCTGCATTACCAAAAAAAAAAAAAAAAAAAAAATAATAGTTGAGGCTATTATTATTAACCAAGATAAAGGTTAATCTAAAAGCGTTTAATAAAGTAAGAACTAAAAGCGTAATGAAAACACTTGCGTTTTTACCTTTGGATGATTAAGGTTCCTCCCCCGACAACCCCCACAAGTAAAATAACACTCGAAAGTGTTCCCCACCATCACTACAATGAAAAGAAGTTGACTTTACATGTTGACTTTTGGGATTAAAAGATCTTTCCGAAACATATATACTGTCCTGATATCTAAACATGTGTTGTAGTGTGTGTAATATTGTGTGGTTGTTTGCTCTTCGTAGCTACACATGATAAATATTGTCACATATTTATGTATATAATTTGTGTGTTAATTGTCTCTATATTTATGTTACTTTAATTTTGGTTTTTAAATGAAATTTAAGGTTTGTGAAAAAGGTGCATTTGGCTGGAATGGAAAGAAGACAGGTCCACTATTAGTAGTTGCAACATAATAATTGTCGTAACATTTAATCCAATTCAACTATATAAGAACATTCTATAGGCATATAAATCAACACAATTCATGTTCATAAAATATTCATTAATAATTTAATCCACATTCTAAAATTTATTATATATATATTTTTTATCATCAACTGATATCCCTCGGTCATGTAAAACGAGCTCGATTTTTTTTAAATTAATATTTAGAAAAGCATATGAAGAAGAATAAGTGATTGGGCTTTCATTATTTTAATTATTTAATGGGCTTTTCCATTACCCGTTAAAGGCCCAATGGACCTTCCCTAAATCACTGTTAATATATTACACCAGTAAAATTAAAACACGTGGCCTCATTCTATTGGCGGGGAAATACCATTTGAAAAAAAATAAAGAAATTCCACCAACACTTGGGAAACAGTCAGCATCATCAGACAGCAGTAAAACCCAGAATCGAACCGAACAGCCAAAATCTCATAGCAGAATCTTTGGTTTAATCCGATCATGGCTCATTCCGCTCTCTCTCAGGTTTTTTTATTTCAACAACAATTACTGTTGTTTATTTTTTATTTAATTCAATTTAATTTTTATTTAATTTGAAATTTGGGAAAAATGTTGCCTTTTTTTATTTTTGTTGCAGGTCCCAGTTACAGTGTGTTTCTCTTACAGCAGTGATACATCTCTTCCTAAGACCGTGTTTAAGGTTCTTGATCGTGTCCCTTTTTATGTTAAAATTAATTTTTTTTTTTTTTTTTTATGTATTCAATTGCGTTGATCTGGAGTTGCACTATTGTTGATTTTAAATATTTAATCATATTTTTTTTGTTAATTATCCAGGGATCTCTTATTTGTTTTATCTCTCTGTCAATTTCAAAATTTAGGATTTTAATCAAGAGTTTGGGCAAAATGTGTCATCTCCTAAAATTCAAGATTCATTTTCTTAAATCTGATGTCTCCTAATCTCTGTGTTTCTGTTGAATTATATGTCCAATTGTGAGATCAATCGTAAGTATAGCCGTCGAAAATCGAAATCCTAAATTTTGTGGGTTCTTGTAAGATTTTTTTTTAAACCTTATTTGAGATGACAATTACTGTGTTTCTTGAATAATGCAGCTCACTAAGTCACTATATATACTGCAGGGTAATAACGTATCTTTCAACGGAAAAAAATCATGGATTTCTCGTTTATCTTCGGATTTCAAAACCGCAAACTCGCGGTCAAAGGGAAAAAGTCGACCCGTGATTTGCATGTCAGTGGAACAAGCAAGCAAGGAGAAGGCTGCGATTTCGCCTTTAAGTTTAGAAGATGCGAAAGAGCCGCCATTGCATCTGTACAAGAATAAAGAACCGTATACAGCAACTATTGTCTCCGTCGAAAGGATTGTGGGCCCCACAGCTCCTGGAGAGACATGCCACGTCGTCATCGATCATGGGGGCAATGTCCCCTATTGGGAAGGACAGAGTTATGGAATCATTCCTCCGGTAAGTTCTAGAAACATTATTCGCGTAGTTTAGTGTTTTTCGATTTTATTTATTTATTTACTCGTCTGAGATTCTTTAGGGTGAGAATCTGAAAAAACCTGGTAGTTCACATAATGTTCGATTGTACTCAATAGCATCTACAAGATATGGAGACTTCTTCGATGGAAAAACAGCAAGTTTGTGTGTTAGACGAGCTGTCTATTACGATCCCGAAACTGGGAAAGAAGATGCTTCGAAAAAAGGAGTTTGCAGTAATTTCTTATGTGATTCAAAGCCCGGCGGCAAGGTTCAGATCACAGGTAATAAGATCTCAAATTGGCTTTTCTTTTTTCTTTTTTTGGGCTCAATGTCGTTTCAATTTTAACGGTACCGTAATTCAAGACTATGCATAACTTTCTCATCCAATGACGAATTTAGCTGATTCAAGTTGCGTTAGAAAGCCATTTCAAAGGGCTACTACAACTTCGATGTTTTCAGATTTTCCAAATTTGAATTGTAAGATTGTCGAAATCACGTTCAAATTAGGCTTGTTGTTTGTTAATTAGGGCAGTGTTTATTCATTCAAACATAACTCTCGCAACCGACATCCAATCTAGAGTTGCAATCTAGAAAGCCAACTCAAATGACTAAAAAATTGTCGCCAAATTCGAACCGAAAAGTGGTCAAAATCACATTTGAAGTCGTACTCTTAATTCCAATTTTTTTATTTATTTTTTTATTTTTCAGGTCCTTCCGGTAAGATAATGCTTCTTCCGGAAGAAAATCCAAACGGGACCCACATAATGATTGCCACGGGCACAGGGGTGGCACCTTACAGAGGCTACCTTCGAAGAATGTTCACGGAGAATATTCCCACGTTCAAATTCAACGGCCTAGCTTGGCTTTTCCTCGGAGTGGCTAACAAAGACAGTCTCTTATACGACGAAGAATTCTCCGAATACCTCCGGAACTATCCGGATAATTTCCGGTTTGACCGTGCTCTCAGCAGAGAACAGAGGAACAGAAATGGCGGGAAAATGTATGTTCAGGATAGGATCGAAGAGTACAGCGACGAGATTTTCGAGCTTTTGGATAGTGGGGCCCACATTTACTTTTGCGGGCTTAAAGGAATGATGCCCGGCATTCAAGATACGTTGAAGAGGGTTTCGGAGACGAGAGGCGAAAAATGGGATGAGAAGCTAACACAGCTCAAGAAGAATAAACAGTGGCATGTTGAAGTTTATTGAACTCCATTACTATATTTTTCAAGAACTTGTCTGTACTGCTGTTATTACTATTATTGATTATTATTCAAATTTATAGAAAATTAAATTATATTTTACTACTATTCCAATTTATAAGGGGTAAAAATGAAAAGAAAATAAAAGTGGGTTTTATCATTTTTAAAACCAAAAACAAAATAAAAGGGAAAATAAAAAATGATTTTAACATTTTAGTTTAAAGCCAAAAATAGCTGTAGTTATGATTATTTATTTATTTATTTATTGTTATTATTATTATTATTGTTATAAAAAAAAGGCGCAATAAATAAAAGAATGAAATGAAAGAAACAGTTATCGTTGATTTGGAATCACATAAAAACGGGGGGCGTTTCCTCTCCATTTTTCACATGAACAAAATCCTCCTAGCGACAAAAAAATTCCAGAATATCGAGACAGAAAAGGTAATTATTCTGATCAATCATGTTCTGTACGAAGTGATTTTTCACTTCGATTATGATCATAGGCAAATTATTCAAACAAATTGAGTTTCTATATAATTTCCCCATATTTTGATTTATATTTTTTAACGTTTTTGGTTCATTTTTTCGTCGTGGATTGAAATTTCCGTTTCTGGAATACGTCGATGCCGGAATATTCCTAATCGGCGCCGATCTTATTGGCATTTCATCACTCGCCTAATTTATGGGGTTCCGGTGACATTTCCAGAATGATTTTTTATTTTTTTAATAAATAAAATTGTATTATCTGTCAAATTGCCAATGCCGATTTTCACAACACACTATTTATTGAAACTACGCTCGCTGATTATTCTCGATTTGCTTAATTCATGAATAAATTTGGTATGAAGTGATTCAATTCTGTTTCCTCTAAACATTTAGCTTTACTTGTGATATATTCACACGAAGTGATTATCTCAATTTTGGGGGCATAACTCTGTGTTGTAGGTTTTTCCATAAAGGCAGGATAGTACAGTTGAATGATAGCATTTGCGTAATTCATAAACGGAGCAATGAGCCACCAAACATCTGCTCTTAGGAAACCTTCAGGTATGTCTGTCTCTCTGTGTGTTTCTGTGTGTGTGTGTGTTTCTCTATGTGTGTGTGTGTGTGTGTGCGTGTCAAATTCCACATGTTAAAAGCTTCCAATTGAATTGTATACTTGAAATTTTTTTAGTGATTTTTCTGTCTCGGTTTGATTGTTTCACATACCATGAACATATAGAACTTGTGAATTCGTTGTTTACTGATTGGGTTCAGCTTATGTAATGTCGGTAATATGTATATTGCATCGAATTGGATTGTAAATTTTTCAATAGATGAATAAATTAATCATTATTTCACTTTGCTCTTGAGGCCTCATTATGGTTTTCATTTTGTAAGTATTGATTCTCCATGTTTTGATGTTTACTAAAATCCATACAGGTAAAAGAAGATTGACGAGTCTTATGATTCAAAGCGATAATCGTGTATGTGCAGACTGTGGTGCTCCGGATCCAAAATGGGCGTAAGTTCCACCACTTCTTTTCCCTATGTTATCTATTCTCTTATCGAGATTATCCTCAAATTATTATTAGTATTATTTTTTATTTTATTTTTCTTGCTTTCTCAGATCAGCAAATATTGGAGTATTTATATGTTTAAAGTGTTGCGGTGCCCACAGAAGCCTCGGTGCGCATATTTCAAAGGTGATTGCCTCTGGACTTCTTTGCTGTCCAAATTTTTATTTATCCCTCTTTTTTTCTTTTACTGCAATTTTTTTTTTATACTGCAGGTCTTGTCAGTGACTTTAGATGAATGGTCTGACGATGAAATTGAGGCAATGATTGAGGTCGGTGGAAATGCGTCCGCAAATTCTATTTACGAGGCTTATTTTCCCGAAGGGGTGTCGAAGCCTAAACCAGATGCTGGCCATGAAGAACGTCACCAATTTATCAGGTGATGTCGAAATGTGAATTCTAATTAGTTTTTTACTAACTGCGGCTCTTTTTTAAATACCTTCTCTATTCAGCTTACACATGTAGGATTTTTTGTATCTTCTTGTTTGTGCATTGTAGGTCTAAGTACGAACTTCAAGATTTCTTGAAACCTAGCCTACGTATTCTGTCTGGTTCTTCCAATAACAGTAAGCACTCCTTACAAACAAGTTTGTCCAGGAAGATTATGGATAGCTTTCGAAGTTCAAGTTCTTCACAAAACTCTGTATGTTTCTATACTTCGTTCAATCTTATTCCATTAATGTTGTGGATCTGCATTGTTGTGTAGTTTTTATTCGGTTCTTTTGCTTTTGTGAATTGCTGTGTTACGTGTGTGAAGCTAACGGCAAATATGGTCACAGAATGGCTTGGTGGAGTTTATTGGAATGTTGAAGATCAAAGTACTCAAAGGCACAAATTTAGCTGTTCGAGATATGCTATCGAGTGATCCATACATTATATTGTCTCTTGGGCAGCAGGTTCGTTTCTTGCTTTTTCCTCTATACTACTTTATTCAAAATCAGGTTAGTATTGCATAAATTGGAAGCAGAGTAGAATCAAGAAAGCAATTAGTTACATGGGAATGGAAATCAGTTTTCTCTGCTTCAAAATCACTTATGTTGGCTAATATAAATCAGACAAATTCGATTGTAATGTTGGCTATTTTGTACTACTAGAAAGCACAAACGAGTGTGGTGAAGAGCAACTTGAATCCTGTGTGGAATGAGGAACTCAAGCTTTCTGTTCCAGAAGATTACGGCTCGATAAAACTAGTAAATTCTTACGAGTGTTCTTGTTTCACACACTGACACACACACACGTACACATATATATGTATAACCGTATTTTTTTTTACCTCCTCATTAAAACGAGTGCAGCAAGTATACGATCACGATATGTTCTCAGCTGATGATATAATGGGGGAGGCGGAGATAGATATACAGCCGATGATTACATCAGCAACAGCGTTCGGTGATGCTGGGATGTTTGGAGATATGCAGATTGGGAAATGGCTGAAATCATATGACAATGCACTGATTGAAGACAGCACAGTCAACATTGTTGATGGCAAAGTGAAGCAGGAGCTTTGGCTAAGGCTTCAGAATGTAGAATCTGGTGAAGTAGAGCTTGAACTAGAATGGGTCCCACTTGACCAATAGTATACTTATATTAATTTTAATTTAATTTAATTCTCTTTGTGTGTATATATAATTATATACCAATTTTTGTTCCCTTTATACCCTCCCCTTTTAGATCATTTGGAAATAAAGTGAGAAGTTTTTTACTGTTAGAATGTGGGTTTTTTTGCAAACACGTATCAT